GCCAAAGGGTCAAGCCAGCCAGTGGGGGAAGGCTGCGAACAGATGGACAGTGGCCTGGGCTGAGGGGTGGCCTGGCGCCCTTCCCGATGAGGTTGGGAGATCAGCAGCTTCTGGTCCTCCTGACTATTTTACCACTTGGTTATTATATCACTGCACTGATGTAATGATACAGGGTACACTGTGTACCAGAGACCATCTTTTACTTTCCACCTATTATTTAATCCTCACAAGCCAGTGAGGTCCGTGTTATTATCCTTGTTTAAAAAATTATTTTTATTAAGAGAGAGTAGAAGGGAGAGAGAGAGAAACATCGATTTGTTCCACTCGCTAATGCATCCATTGGTTGACTCTTGTATGTGCTCTGTCCAGGGACCGAATTCACAGCCTTGGTGTATCAAGATGATGCTCTAACCCTGGCTGGTGTAGCTTAGTGGATTGAGCACTGGCCTGCGAACCAAATAACTGCAGTTCGATTCCCAGTCAGGGCACATGCCCGGGTGGCAGGCCAGTTCCCGGCAGGGGACGCACAAGAGGCAACCACCCATTGGTATTTCTCTCCCTCTCTCCTTCCCTTCCCCTCTAAAGATAAATAAATAAATTCTTTAAAAAAAAAATGATGCTCTAAGCAACTGAGCTACCCGGCCAGTGCTAATCTCCTCATATTAAAGATTAGGAAGCTGAGTGCTTTACTGTGACTTTTAGCATCCCTTTTACAGAATTAATAGCTTCTTTCTTACTAAAAATAATGCATCATTGCAGAAAATTTAACAAACACAGGCAAGGAGAAGAAAACCAAAACTACCCCTCATTTAGCCACCCGGGATAACTGCTGTTAACATTTCCGGGTCTACTTCCCTTAGACTGGGGTCTGGAAATTAGGGCCCGCAGGCCAGATCTGCCTGTTTTTGTAAAGAAAGAAAGTTTTTAGAAGACACACTGAACTCCTCCCTGGTTAGTGAAATGTAGTGACGGAAAAAGCCCAGTTCACATTTGCAAGATGACTTTGGCTTTCCAAAGGGCTTTTCTAAGTCCTGCTGCATCGCAGCAGGTCCGTCCCACGAGGTTCTGAAAGAACAGTTCCTTGCAGTTAATGGGAAGCAGGGAGACGCTCTGTCTCAGGGGCCAGAAATCATCTGTTCATTCACTCGAGCATCACGCATAAGCCCAGCAGAACAGAGAAGGTCTTCACTGAAAGTACATAGCCTACAGCAGTGTGGAAACACGATAGGTTTCTGTCATTTATTTCTCTCTTTTAAAAAAATATTTATTTATTTTTAGAGAGAGGGAAGGGAAGGGGAGGAGAGGGAAAGAAACATCAATGTGTGGTTGCCTTTTGCATGCCCCCAACTGGGGACCTGGCCTGAAACCCAGGCATGTACCCTGACTGGGAATTGAACCAGCAACCCTTTGGTCCCTAGGCTAGCAGCCAATCCATTGAGCTACACCAGCCAGGGCCCATTTCTCTTTTTAAAAAAAATAATTGATTTGAGAGAGAGAAGGTCGGGGAAGAGAAACATCGATTTGTTGTTCCATTTGTGTATGCGTTCATTGGTCGATTCTTGTATGTGCCCTAATGGGGAATCAAACCTGCAACTTGGGAGTACGGGACCGGTGCTCCAATCAACGGAGCTACCTCGCCAGGGCTCATTTGTCTTTTTGTTCCCCTGGCCGAGAAGTCCATTTCTTTATCTCTGACAGGCGAGCGGAGCCTTTGGTGATTCACACTGGGGATCCGGCAGGGGGAGGGGGCGGCGGTGGTGGAGGCAGGCAGACTGCAGGTCTGTAGGAGCGGTTTCTCATGGGAAACTGTACTGGGTGCAGAGATCGATATAGCAGAAAATGCCCAAACCCGACGTTTCCTGGTGTGCTGGAAAAAGCCCCAGGCCTGGAGACTTGCTGGGTGACCTCCTTTGCCTGGCTGGACCTCGGTTTCCTCCTCTGTAAAATGGGATTTCTTTCCCCCAGCTGCTTATTTGCCTCCAGCCTTGCTGTTCCTGGCTCAGACAATAGATGGTGCTGTGCTGGCAGTGTTTCTTACGATCAGTTTTCCACCCAAACTTTTGGCCCACTGAACCCACTCGCCCCAGCCTCCCAAGATACCTGGCGATCACCCTCTCTGGATACGCCTGTGTGTGGTTAACCTCTAACCTAATTCCTGCCAGATGCAGCTGCCGGTCACACCCCATGGCTGGATTGAGAAAGTGGACTGCTCCTGTCAAAATTTAAAAAAAAATAGAGATAGAAAGCCATTAAGCCTGGGAGAACAGGAGGGGAGATAAGCAACATTCTGGAAGCTGGGAAGCAGGTGAAAAAGCGGTGGTTGGCTAGCAGAACCAAGAGGGCTGAGTCATAGGGCAGCAGGGAGGCAAGCCGAGAACTCACTGGCTCTGCACCCCAAAAGGTGCAGGGACTGGCAGCACTGGTGCCTCGGCAACTGGGGGTGAAGGGATGAAGAGAAGGATTGGGTGAGAGACTCCCAGATCCCTCGCCCTGCTTCATGTCCTGCTTCATGTGGCTGTGGGCTGCCCTTGTCCATGCCAATGGAAGGCAGGAGGTCTTGGGACTGGGGACTGACTGGCTGGCACACTGGAGGGTGTGGGGCCCTTACCCTCAGCAAGAGGATAAGGGTCTTGGTAGTTGCTGAACCCTGAAACCTGCCCTGTCCCCCACACCTGGCCCAGTCGTTCCCACCCAGGCTCCAGGCCAGCTTTTCCTCTGTGCAGAAGACCCAGAGACTCCTCTCAGGGGAACTAGACCAGTTCAGGAGGACAACTCTAAAGATGTCTGGGGCTTTCCAAAACGCAGCCGTCCAGGTCACCCTGCGTCGGGCTCAGCGTCCACTTCTCGGCAGCCCTTTTATCTTGCTCCTGGTCATGAAGCAGTGACCAGGGCTTAACCAAACATTGGGTCCAGTTTCTGATGCAGGCCCCAGGCAAACAAAAGGACACAGGGAAGTTGGGAGAGACAGGAACCCTACTAGGAGAACAGAACTTCAAAGTGCCGTCGGTAGCACTCCTTCAGTGTGGGAGAGGATGCACGAAAAGGAACCTTCGCAGACCGAGAACAGGCTCTCACACGTTAAAAGCATGATGGCAGCAATGACAAGCTCCTCTCTGAATGGCTAGAAGGCTGAAGGAATTGTCCAGAAAGTAAACAGAAGATAGGAGAGGGGAAAATACATGAACTGGAGGGCCGGTCCAGGAGTTTCAACAGTCAAGTAATAGGACTTCTGGAAAGAGTAGGGAAAAAGGAGGCTGCACGTCATCAGGGCAATGTCTGGAGACAACTTCCTGGCTGTGAGTTCGCCCTTTGAAGGGGCCTGAAAGGTCCCCAGCCTCATGGACGGCAGCAGACACACAGCTGGGCGCATCCCTGTGAAATTGTGAATACAGAGGCCAAAGAAGTCCCTGTCAGCTTCTGGATATGAAAAAGCAGGTCACCCCCAAAGTATCCAGGGTCAGAACGGCTCTGGTTCTAGCACCCTTGGCGGCACAATGGCACAGGGCTTCCAAAACGCTGAAGGAGGAGGTTTTCCCTCCTAGAATTCCGCATATGGACAAACGATAGGGTCAAATGTGAAGGCAGAAGACAGTTCTAGAACATGTATGGCTGTAAAGCATGCACCCCCCCCCAGCACCTTTTCTTAGAAAGCTGCTAAAGGATGCCTTCTGCTGAAATGAGATAAAATCAGAGATCAGCCATGCAATGGGAGATGGCAACCAGAGATCCAGCATAGAATCAAAGGGAATCTCTGGGGTGACACTGACGAGGGAGCCCTGGGCAACCAGGCGCAGGACAGGTATGTCGAGGGCACCATTGTTGTGTGTCATGCCACCGTACCCTCCTTGTAACTCGATAAAACTACTAGAGGAGGTGCCCCAGCAAAACAGCGGAGTCCACGAAGAAAGAGGGAGCCATGTGATCCTCAAATGAGAAATCAAAGGTGGAAGAGGGTATGTGGGGGTAAATGGGGATGGGACAAAAAAAAAGCAAGGAAAGGCAAAGGGACCTTAAGGATGTCAGCGAGGGGAGGTCCCAGAATGACGGTTGTGTAGGGGTCTCGAGGACAGCCGGCCCAGGTGAAAGGGGAAGAGAGGCCTTTAGGAGAAGCTGTCACCCGTGGAAAAGCAGTGGAGAGGTCCAGCAACCTCACGTGTGTGGGCGGTTGCGGGATGAGTTAACAAGTGTGTAAGGAAAACCAAGTCAATGGGAAAAAAATAATGAACTTCAGGGGAAAAAAAAACAAAAAGGAAAACCTGGTGATTTTCCAACCCTCACCTGTGAATAACGACCCCAGACTAATAAAACACTGAATAGTGACCGTCCCTGCTGAACAGCAGTATGGCCCTCCTGAGAGGCTGGGAGAAGGGGAGTGGGTAGGATGGCCACCGAGGGGGTGATGTCCTCATCTGTCAAGGTAGGAAGGCCGCCGAGGGTGTTTCAAATGGATGACTCACGAGGTAGCACACACACTTTGTTTAGAACGCAGGAGGTGTGTCGGGGTCTGGAGGGGGTGGGGCAGGGAACCTCTGTTTTCTTTATTATGATTTTTTGCTTGTTTTCATTTAAAAAATGCTGATACACACTTCCAGAAAAGTGCATGAAGGTTATCGCTACTATTAACACATTTAAAGTATTAGAATATGTGACTTCCCCGCCTCCCATCATAAATTTTTCATCCCTGCCATAGGCTTCTTAGTACTGAGTTCCTAAGTTATGGGCACATAAAGTAAAAGTTAATTTAAGATAAAAAAAAACTGAACGTGCAGCTTGGGGCGGGTCAGGGTCTCGCACCTGCTTTATTCCTGCGATGGCCTCTTCTTGGTCCTCCTTGTGACATGAATGCTTCAAGGTCACAGAGAGGGACAACGCAGCAGGAGTCCGATGGGCCTCAGCTGCTCTGTGTGGAAGTTAATTTTGTGGGTGCTGGGCCCCTGAGGCACCCCCTCTGGCATCCCAGGCTTCCTGGCTCATGCATGTCTGTCCTGTTCCCTCCGCAGGCCCAGCATGTCTGGGCTCCACCTGGTGAGGAGGGGCCGAGAACAGAAGAAGGTGGACCTGCACAGAGACTTCACCGTAGCTTCCCCAGCCGAGTTTGTCACGCGCTTTGGGGGGGATCGGGTCATTGAGAAGGTACGGATGGGATCCCAGTGCTGTGGGAGAGGCTCGGTAGGGTGGGGTGGGAGAACCAGCTTCGGACTGGGTGCTCATGCTGCAGAGAAAGGGCGGTGGCCACCCCTTGGTGAGCACTTGCTAAATGCTGGGCTTGTGAACTTTCCACGGTCATGACAGCCTGAGCAGCAGATGCACGACCCCGATTCACAGAGGAGACCGAGGCCCCTGAGCGAGATCAGTGGGCTTCGAAAAGCACCCTGCAGTGCCTTCATCCAAGGGGCTGCTTCCCAGGTTATCGGGCGGGAAGTGTAAAACCGGCCCCCCAGCCATCCCCAGGTTTGCAGGCCCTTAGAGGAGAGGAAGCCCACATACTGGAATGACAGTAATGAAAAGAAACAGCTAAAATTTGCCATTTTAAAAAGGGAGAGAGAATATTAACCTGAGCTGGAAGCTCTGGGGCCTGTCTGCCATGGCCGCTCACGGGACATGGCATCTGGGCTCAGTTTCCCCTTTTATTAAAACAGAGCCAGTCACACCCCAAAGCTCTACTGAGATTTGTCTTCCAGGGCTGATGTGAAACTTGGTCAGCAATGCTAGGGCCCTAAAATACAGTGGTGGGCAAAAGTAGGTTGGTGATAATAAGTAATGCAGTAATAAATGAATGATAATAAGAATAAACTGTATTCATGGACTCATAGCTGGAAACCTACTTTTGCCCACCCCCATATGGACTCACTAGGTAACTCAGAACAGTGAAGCCATCCATGTGCCTGCTTTTTTTAGGAACTGTCTAATGCCCCATAGCAACTTCATGATGCAAGCAAGAACTGAAACCAAGACCCCTTCTGTCTTGGGGACAGCCAGCATTACTGCCTCTCCTCCCCACCCAGTCTGGGCCCTTTAACCTTCAGGATGCAGAGGCAGTCCTGCTGAATGGGTGCAGTTCCGAGCACAGGTCGGACTGTGGAGGGCTTGAGTCCCAGCTCCGCCACTTACTGGCTGTGTGACCTTGGGCAAGTACCTTAACTCCTCTGAGTCTTAATGTCTTCGATCCCAAATAGGGCTAATAATACAGCCTCTTTCAAAGGGCTGTTGTGAAGATAAAATGAAATACATTGTACTGTGGCTTAGTGCCTTCTAAACCCACAGAAAGGTTAAGTGATCACAATGGCGCTAAATGAAGGCATCCAAAGTCATTTATCCGTTCATCCCCTAGTCATCCATCCATCCACCTACCTGTCTGGCTGTGCATCCATCCACGCATCCCTCCATCCGATCATCCATTCACACAGTCCGCAGACTCTGAGCACCTGCCCTGTGCCGGGCTGTGTGCTGTAGAAACAAACAGAGGAAACGTGTGCTTCGGGTACTGCAGGAGCCTCCGCAGCCCTGAGATGCGCCCCACGGTGCCACGCAGCCTCTGCTGCAGGGAGAAGTGCAGCTCCGGCCCCTCCCTCCTCTTCCCCGTCCAGGTGCTCATCGCCAACAATGGCATCGCCGCAGTGAAGTGCATGCGCTCCATCCGCAGGTGGGCCTACGAGATGTTCCGAAATGAGCGGGCCATCCGGTTTGTAGTTATGGTGACTCCCGAGGACCTCAAGGCCAATGCAGGTATTGGGGCCTTCACTCCCTCCCCTCCCACCCCGCTATGCCCTGTCCTTACCTGCCCTCACCTGCACCTACCTGGGCAGGTCCATTCTGGACCCCAAGCAGAGTTCTGGGGTACCACTCTCATGAATCTGCATTTATTTGCCCTTTCTTCTTTATTCAACTAAAATGTCTGCTGATAATAAAACTGACCCCTGTACCTTATCAAAATGCAAATTTTGAACATGCAAAGGGGAAACCCTGTCTTTGAGCAATGCACATGTTACTGCAAATTGGTGTCTCTTCCTCTGGATGTTTTTTCTTGCAGATGTATGCGCTGTATGTCTTTGTTCATTTTTCTTTTTTTTAAATTTATTTATTTTTATTGATTATGCCATTACAGTTGTTCTATTCCCCCCTTCATTCCCCTCCACCCTACCCCCCATGCCCACCATTACCCCCCCCTTTAGTTTATGTCCATGTGTCTCAAGTTCTTCAGATTCTATATTTCCCATACTATTCTTGCCCCCCCATCTATTTTTCTATTTACTGTCTATGCTACTTATTTTCTGTACCTTCTCCCCCCTTCTCCTCCTCCCACTCCCCTGTTGCTAACCCTCCTTGAGATCTTCATTTCTATGTTTCCACTCCTGATCTAGCTGTCCTTTTAGTTTGCTTTTGTTTTAGGTGTGGTTGTTAACTGTGAGTTTGCTGCCCTTTCACTGTTCATGTTTTTTTAACTTCTTTTTCTTAGATAAGTCCCTTTAACATTTCATATAATAAGGGCTTGGTGATGATGAACTGCTTGAATTTGATCTTATCTGAGAAGCACTTTATCTGTCCTTCCATTCTAAATGAAAGCTTTGCTGGATAGAGCAATCTTGGATGTAGGTCTTTGGATTTCATGACTTGGAATACCTCTTTCCAGCCCCTTCTTGCCTGTGAGATCTCTTTTGAGAAATCAACTGACAGTCTGATGGGAACTCCTTTGTAGGTGACTGTCCCCTTAGCTCTTGCTGCTTCTAGGATTCTCTCCTTCATTTTCATCTTGGCTAATTGTCTAATTTGTGGCTATAATCAACCAGTTCTGTGAGGATCCTGATCACCAGTGTTTTAAACTGTGCGTCTGAGAGTTTTGCTATTTCTTCATCACTTAGATTTATAGGCTCTGGGGCTTTGAGATCTTCTTGAGCCATTTTTGGTCTGTTCACGCTCCTTAAGTGTGAGGAGCGGAGCCTTGACTCCCAGGTCGCTGGGTTGTGACGCTGTATGTGGGGGGCGGGGTCAGAGCAGGGAAATGGCGGCGCCCTCCCTGCTGCTTGCCGCGGGGACCCGCTGGGTCCCGGTCCAATCGCCCACTCCCTCGCTTGTCTATCCGTGCACAAATGCGTGACCACAGTCAACCCGCAGCCCTGCTCCCTCGCTGTTTTCCCACAATCGCTCGCTTGGTTGCTCGCTCGGTCGCTCACTAGGTCCAACCCTGCGCCTGGATTCCGCGCGCCTGAGTCTGTCTGACCGAGTTTTCCTGTGCAACCCCGCTCTGCCAGCTGCTGGTTTCGCCCCTCTTACCGGTCAGGCTGAAGAATTTGTTGTTAACAGACTTCCAAAAAGTTCAATTTTCTGTGTTCTGGCTGTGTTTTCTGTTGCTAATATTTAGTTGTCTCTAAACTTGGTTGTGTGAGAAAGCACGGCGTCTCCACCTATGCCTCCATCTTGGTGGAAGTCCCTTCATTTTTCTATTCATTTACTGTCAGTGTGTTTACAAGCTTAGACCATTCTATAAGTATTGGCAATTTGCTTGTTCTTTTTTTTAAAGATTTTATTTATTGTTAGGGAGAAGAAAGGAGGGAGAAAGAGAGGGAGAGAAACATCAATGTGTGGTTGCCTCTCACACGCCTAGGGGACCTGGCCCACAACCCAGGCATGTGTCCTGATGGGGAATGGAACCGGCAACCTTTCAGTTTGCCAGCTGTTACTACATCCATTGAGCCACAGCAGCCAGGACCAATTTGCTTCCCCCCCTGAACAATCTTATCGCTTTACAGACCCTTCTCCACACAGCAGGCAAACTGACCTTTTAAAAACACAGCACAGGTCCTGTCAGCCCTGCCTTGAATGCGCTGGAGACCACGATGCTGTCCCCCAGCCTCCGCCCGCTTCCCGGCCTTGCGGGCAGGCCCCGGGCTCCGCCCTGCCTGCACGCAGCCTCCTTTTAACTCACAACCAACAGCAAGGACAGGTTTGCTTGTTAGCCCCATTCTACAGATGAGACAGTTTTGACACGGGGACGTAAATCACTTCCCCAGCGTCATACAAACAGTGCATGACTATTAACTTAAAAATGAAAAGGCCTTTAAATCGAGAGGCAAAATGCGTCTGAGATCAGAATGGCTATTTTGGATGCAGTGATTCAGACTGACGCCCAGATAGCGTTCTGATTGGGAGACAAAGGTCGGGGACAATTGCATCAGTAGAAGGAAGGCATTTTTATTGGTGCAGGTAATAGAATGGGGTTCATTCAACAGTGTTTACATGTTCAGGCCGGTCTTCATAATAACTTATCTTTTTCCGGTCATCATTTTCCTGCTATTTTTGCAAACAGCTCTCTGGCACGCAGTGTTGCCCTAGGCCCAGTCCAGAGGTTGTGTCGCCCTTTGTCACATTCCAGAGACCGAGACAGGCAAGGTGCCAGGCAGTTGCTCTGGCCTGGCCGCTCTGGCTCTGCTTGAAAGTGGCTCCGTTTATATTATTATTATTTTTTGACATGTCAGGGCTGGAACTGAGGGTCCAGCCTTGGGACCCTGATGCTGTGGGATTCCAGATCCTCCCAGGCCAGCTGAGGCCCCACATAAACTCAACCCCCACTGGCTTCCTGGTCCCATCTCATGCCCCTTGCCCTTCACCCCGGGGCCCAGGGACACAGCCTCATAGGTTCCCAGACTGGCCTTGTTGTTTCCTGTGGCAGGGCCTTGGGAGTGTGCTGGGCCTTCGGCTGACTTTTCCCCTGAAGCTCACTGTAGAGGCGCCTCCACCCCTCCCTGCCCTGCCCTGCCCTTCCGGTCTCACTGTTCTCCCCAGGCAGCTCCCTGTTTGCGCCCAGGCGCTGACCTTGGTCTGCAGTTACCCTGTCTGCTGTTTGCTCTCGTTTATCTTCTCCAACAGTAAGATAAGGCTCTGCAAAGAGACGGTGCATGTCTGACCTCTCGCTTTATAATCTCTGGGACTTCCCCAGTGGCTTTTTTTTTATTTATTGATTTTTTTTTTTTAGACAGAGAGGAAGGGGTGGGGGGGAAAGAGATTAATTTGCTGTTCTACTTATTCCCGCATTTATTGGTTACTTCTTGTCTGTGCCCATTCTGACCAGGGATCAAACCTGCAACCTCGGGTTATCGGGAGGATGCCCTAACTGACTGACCTACCCTGTCTGGGCCCCAGTGGCTTTTTCTGAGAACATATTTCTTGAAGTGGCATTTCTGGCTTACAGAGCATGAATATTTTAAAACCAAAACATAGTATCATATGCTATGATTTAAGCATAGTATCTTATGCTTTCAGCTTTAAAAAGGCAGGAATGGCTGTCACATGACATGGAGGAAACCTTAGGACATGATGTTAAGTGGAATGGACCAGTCACAGAAAGACAAATACGGTCCGATTCCACTCCGCTGAGGTCCATAGTGTGGTCCACAACTTAGAGAGAGAAGAGTGGTGGTCTGTCTGGGGGGGGGGGTGGGAAGGGGAAGGGGAGCTGTTTCATGGGTACAGAGCATCAGTTCTGTGAGATGATAAAGTTCTGGCAACCTCTTTCACAACCATGTGAATATACTTATCACTACTGAACTGTACACTTGAAAAATGAGTAAGACGGTCAATGGTACATTATTTTTTTTTAGCCATGACTAAAAACAAGCATTGTATTCTTTAACGGCAAAACATTGTTAAGATAGAGTTTAGGAATTCAAAAAAGAAACGAAAACCCAACCCTACCTCTAGTCCCGCTATCCTGATAGCTTGTTCCCTTCCATTGTTGTTCCCTTAAGGACCTGGTCCAGACAGACGTAGTAACGTCGTCGTCAGTTTTCTTCTAGTTTCACACTCTCTTGTCCCCCCGAGAGCCGTCGTGGTTCCTCGGTTCTCCTCTCAGTGGCTGTCCGTAGTGGCGTCTCGCAGATTTCCTGCAGTCGCTGGTCTCTCTGCTCCTTTGCAGAGTACATCAAGATGGCCGATCAGTATGTCCCCGTGCCGGGGGGCCCCAACAACAACAACTACGCCAACGTGGAGCTCATCGTGGACATTGCCAAGAGAATCCCCGTGCAGGTGATTCGGGCGGGCGCCCCTGTCCTCTGCCCAGGAGCAGCGCAGCTCCGCACTTCAGAAGGGGCAGAGGAGCCGGGTCCTGTGTGAATCGGAAATCCAGGGCCACTACGACCCAGCCACAGCTCTCCGTGTACGTGTGCGATGGGCGGAGGGTTTCGAAGGAAGATCTTTGTTCACGCCTCTCTGTGTTTGCAGGCGGTGTGGGCTGGCTGGGGCCACGCCTCCGAAAACCCCAAACTTCCGGAGCTCCTGTGCAAGCACGAGATTGCTTTCTTAGGTAGAGTGTGTCTCCAGCGGATACATGGGAATTGGGGTGTTGATGGGACCCTCCTCTGGGTTACACTCTCTTCCTAGCGCAGCCTGGGAAGTGGAGGTCAGTTTGGTATCCCCCCACCTCACATACTCATTGTCAGAAGCAAGGGAGTCCAGGGGTGGAAGGGCACCTGGGTCAGTGGTCAGCTGGGGGGTGGGGTGGGGAATGGAGCCGTTACCATGGATACCACAGTGGCATGATGCTGAGGCAAGCAGGACCTCTGCGAGGGTTCCAGTGAGTGCTGAGATGCCAGCCATGTTCAGATTTATCACTAGGTTTGGAGGTCACATTTCGGATAAGACCGCACCTTCGCTTGCGCTGTTCTGAGGCCTCTGGACTGTCCTTACCGCTCGGGACCAGATCCCTGCATCTCTATACTCTTTACATGGTCCAGTGATACTTGTTATCTACAGCATCTGTTTGTTTTAGGATTCGAACTTGCATCTGTCACCTTTGAGTAATTATGCTCCCTGACCTCCTTGCACGGTTCAGGGAATCATTTACCGCCCCCCTTACCTTTGGGCCCTCAACACAGACTTGTGTGTGAAGCAGCTCAGTGCAGATCAATTCCTGACCTTTCAAGGCTCGGTCTGGTGACCAGTGCCCACTGGTGTTTTCTCTGTCTGTGGTCTTTGATCCACTGTCACACAGGATTTTCCCTACCCTGCAGTTTTAGTGCCTCTAGAGGTCCAGCCCACCAGCTGGCAAACTACAGCCCACCAGCCATATCCGGCCCACTGCCTGCTTTTGTAAATAAAGTTTTATTGAAACACAGCCCTGCTCATTCATTTAGGTGTTGCCTAGGGCTGCTTTCCCCCACCTGGCAACGTTGCGTATTTGTGAGAGGCCAGCAGGCCTACAAAGCTGAGAATGCATCCTATCTGATTCGTTACAGGGAAAGTTTGCTCAGCCATGGTCTGATTTTTTGAGGTGCTGACTTGCCTTCTTGGTCTAGCTTTTTGCCTCCCCCCGAGAGTGAATTTTGTGGATGCCTCAGAGCTTAGGTTGTCACTGAGACCAGGTTACCAGTCCACGGGTGTTGAAAGTTGACTGATGAGGTGGCAAACTAAGACTTTCTTCCTTCCTGACTTGACGTGAAACTCCCTGGGACATGGGACCCGGGACCTGACGCCTGGCACTTGGTCAGCACTCGGCTGTGTGTGGCTGACTCAGTTCCACCTTCCCCCTTGTCCCTGCCCCCACAGGCCCCCCCAGTGAGGCCATGTGGGCCCTGGGAGATAAGATCGCCTCCACCATTGTGGCCCAGACGCTGCAGATTCCAACACTGCCTTGGAGTGGAAGCGGTAAGGGACCCCAGTCTCCACTTTGGGGGGGATCCTCCACCCAGTCTTGCTAATGTGAGCACAGCGGGGACAAGAATATGCTTTTAAAAAATTATTTCACTAGTTTTAAATTATTAAACAAGTGGTAACAGCTTCATTTTAGACAACTTGGAAAATAGGAGAAATTTTTTAAAAAATAAGTTTTTTATAGTCCTGACTCTGTTGAATATTTGCTGCATTTTAGGGATCTATCTTCCTTTCTAGTCTTTTTTCTAAGCACATCCTTTAAAACAGAGCCTTGTATTTACTAGTTTAGGATTTGTTTTTCTCACTAATCTTTCTGCGTCAATAAATATACTTTGCCACATTTAAAATGCCTGCATAGGATTATATCATCTAGATATACCATGATTTATTTAACAGTCCTCTCTAGTTATACATTTTCCAGTTTCCAGTTCATTTCGTTCTAATTTAAAAGATATTAAAAGTAATGGAGCCTTGATCATTTTATGGCTAAAATAAACAGGAAAAAGTCTCAGGAGTTTCCTATTCAATTTGATTTTATTTCTTCCAAAGAGTGAATTCTAAATTCGGAATGGAAAGTTTTGTCTTGTTTTGTTTTAAATCTTCACAGGCTGTTGAAAAATAATGATTCACGTATAAATAATCCTTTAGGGTACAAGGAGATTTTTTTTTGGATTCAGGTGAATAGGGCGTTCTTGGTAGACGTGGTCTGAACTTCTTAAGCTTGGTTTCCCATTCAGGGATGGGTCAGTCGGTGAGAAAATTAGAAGTCAGTAATTAATGAAGCCGGTGGGCTGTGTGAGCACCCCGCCAAGCCAGAGGCTGGGCCTGGAGCTGCTTGGCGAGGGGGACCCCGTGGTGTCTGTGTTGCGTGTGTCTGCCATCCTTGGGGATTCAGCTTCTTTGTGACTCCAGGTCTGATGGTGGACTTGGCAGAGGGCAGCCTGCAGCAGGGGACAAAAGTCTGTGTCTCGGAGAACATTTACAGCCAGGGTTGTGTGAAAGACATCGATGAGGGTTTGGAGGTAACCGTGGGGCCTGTGGGTGGGCGGGGCCTGGGGCCAGACCTTCCGGCTGTGCTAGTGTCTGACCTTGAAAGAGCTCCCTTTGCCCTTTGCTTCCCAGGCAGCAGAGAAAATTGGTTTCCCGTTGATGATCAAAGCTTCGGAAGGCGGTGGAGGGAAAGGGATCCGGAAGGCGGAGAGTGCAGAGGACTTCCCCATCCTTTTCAGACAAGTGAGTCTTCTTGCCGTGTGGCCGCGTTGCACATCTTCGGGAATCGGGAATCGTCTTATTCCGTTGTCGGCCAGCAGATTATTTCTGTTTGCGTCGTGGTGGCAGCGGGGCCACACCCTCTTCCTTCAAGAGCCTCTCATCGGCGTGCCTATAACACAGCCGTGTCCAGTTTAAAGGGTGCGGTCAGTCCGCCTGCAGCTTCCACCGTGGAAAGCCGCTGGGGGAGTGCGCTGAGCAGGAGGAGAGGGGGGCTGAGCAGGGTGTGCTTCGGTCCTGTGTTTGTGCAGAGAAACATTTTCTGTGTGTACGTTACCGGGTGTGTGGCAGCAAACCAGTTGGGCACCCAACTCGCAACAGCATAGTAACTCTTTAAAAAAATAATTTAACATGTTTTCAGTTACATACAATAGTATAGCCATTTCAGGTTATAATATAGTGATTAGACATTTATATGATTTATGAAGTGATCACCCTGATAAGTTAGTAACTGACACCATAGCAGCATTAATTCTCAACCACATTAATTCTTCCAGCACTTTAAACTCTTACCTAGTTTGTACCCAACTCTTTTTTTTTTTTTATTTGTAGAGAGAGGGGAAGGAGGGGAGAAAGAGAGGGAGAGAAACATGTGAGAGAGACACACTGATCGGTTGCCTCTGTTATGCACCTCCACAGGGGACCACACATGTGCCCTGACCGGGAATCGAACTAGTAACCTTTCTCCTTGCCAGACAGCACCCAGCCAACTGAGCCACACCAGTCAGGGCTGGACCCAACTCTTAACAGCATGGGATTGTGGGGAAATTTCACTTTCTCTGTTATGTATTTCCACACCGTTGGGTTTCAAAGGGACTGTAATGCTTCTGAGAGAGGTCACACAAAACTTGGGAGACTGTGGTTATCACCGCCGTCGTCTTTCCCTCTCTTTGGGAAACTCCCTGTTCCAGCTGCTCTGCCTTCCCCACAGGTACAGAGCGAGATCCCAGGCTCCCCCGTCTTCCTCATGAAGCTGGCCCAGCACGCCCGTCACCTGGAGGTCCAGATCCTCGCCGACCAGTACGGCAACGCCGTGTCCCTGTTTGGGCGAGACTGCTCCATCCAGCGGCGGCATCAGAAGATCATCGAGGAGGCCCCTGCCACCATCGCCACCCCGGCTGTGTTCGAGTTCATGGAGCAGGTGGGCTCCACAGAGCCGGCTGTGGGGACAGCCGCAGGGGTGGCCGTCTCAGAGCCAGGCAGAGCGCCCCACGGCCCGTGCTGCCAACGTGGGCGAGACCAGGGGTCCATCACGGACGTGGATTCTGTGTGTTTATGGCTGGCGTGAGTTTATTCGAGTGTGAGCTGTGTGGTCCCGAAGGGCATGACACATAGCAGGTCCTCAGTCTGCATGTGGCGGAGGAACTCATATCCACTGTGAAAACGACTCCAGAAAACCTCTGGACACCCCTCGTTCGGTCTCTGTTTCTTTGCAGTGTGCCGTCCGCCTGGCCAAGACGGTGGGCTACGTGAGCGCAGGGACGGTGGAGTACCTGTACAGCCAGGATGGCAGCTTCTACTTCTTGGAGCTGAACCCCCGTCTGCAGGTGGAGCACCCCTGCACGGAAATGATCGCCGACGTGAACCTGCCGGCCGCCCAGCTGCAGGTGAGGAAACCGCTCCAGGCCCGGGGGCTTCTTCTGCCCGGGGCGGGGTCTCTGTCCTGTGCAGACCGGGCCTTCCCGCTCCTCTTGGCCAACTGTCCCTGGGGAGTGACTGGGTGTGTACACAGCACTGCGGGCCCTGATTTCGGAGAACGTGATGTGGTTTGTTGCCTTTATCTGCCATCTAGTCCTGCGAGAAACTGGCAAGAGTCACAGACCTTCTCCCTGGAAACATACATTCTATGCAATTTCAGGGCATTCGTGGACCCCGATACCCACTCAGAGACCCAGAGATGGGCGTCTCAACCCGTGTCATTATCGCCCCCACCCCCACCCCTGCAGGAGACTTTCAGATGTTTTTTCCTCCCAGTTTCTCCCCTTATGAAATCTTAATATCATAGATACACTGCATATCTGGGTACTATAGATATATTTGTGCTTTGTACATACAAAGAGTAAGATTTTTCTTCACCCCCCAAGAGCAAGCATTTGTCCCCTGGGGGGCAGTATCACCCCGCATTGAGAACTTGTGACCCAGAGGCAGGAACGCCTGCATTCGTTGAGACTCAGTTACTTCCATTAGTGTCTTCTTCCTTCCTCCCTTCCCTGCCCCACCAGAATTTTTATTCTGCTTCTGGTTTTTTCTCGTTTGAAAACTTTCAAAAAGTTGCAAGGCTAATACATGTTATCCCCATACTCTGCCCAGATGCACCTGCTGTTAGCTTCTCGCCCCATTTGCTTCTCCCTACGGTGTGCTCGTATAAAGCCTTTTGAGAGATGTTTTGACTCGAACCTGCATTGCCACTTTGCCTCTAAACACGTCACTTCCCGAGGCCTCCCGAAAGCAAGGGCGCTCCGTTGCCATACCACAAGGAAATCCTGTGTGGATGCCGCCGCACACCCGTCTGATATGACTGCCTACACGAGTGTCTCCCCGAGTTTGTGGCTGTTTCTTGTTTGTGTGTTTGTTTTTTAAAGCCAGGGCCACACATCCCATTTCTCTGCCATGTCTCATCAGTCCTACCTTTTCATTGCCTTGTGAAGGGTCCCGGCAGAACGTCCCTCGACCTGGTTGTCTCTTCCTGATCAGTCTCTCCCGTGCGATGTCCCTTTTCCCATGTCACGTCACGAGACACAGTGTGTTAGGTGTGACCCTCTGGCTGAGCTGGTGTCCTTAATGCTCTGGTCGTCACTCATTCCCCTCACCCAGCGTTCCCCGCATCCTTCTCGAAACCTGTAGTCCTGCTTCTGGGTGCCTTTCCTTCTCGCCCTCCGGAGCCCCGAAGTCTCGTGTGTTTGCCGCATGTATTTTCTTGTTGCGTGGTGGTGTTCGATGAATGTTGCTTCTTTTCCCAGTGGCACAGCTTGCTCCGTGGCGGCCACGTCAGGCCTGTGTCTTTTTCTTTCTTTGCCTCTCCCGCCTTCATAAGCAGCATTGTGTGCGTATGAGGTGCTCAGTGTATCTGCCGTCATTCATGGGACCTCGGCCTCTGGTGCACCCAGCAGTGTGCTTGGTGTTTGGGGGCGGGGGTCTCGTGGGACTCAGAGCCCAGGGACGGCTTTCTTGATTTCAGATCGCCATGGGCGTGCCACTGCACCGGCTGAAAGACATCCGCCTTCTGTACGGAGAGTCGCCATGGGGGGTGACACCCATTTCCTTTGACACCCCTTCCAACTCACCCCTCCCCCGAGGCCACGTTATTGCTGCCAGAATCACCAGTGAAAATCCTGATGAGGCAAGTTGTTGGGGCGGGGGCCTTGCTTCTGCCATCTCCAGTCTCCCGGTGTGGGGCAGACCCTCAGCCTTAGCCTTGGACTTGGGGTGAGAGAGGTTTGTTTGCTCCCTTCTCCCCAGACTTCTCAGTTTACAGATAAGGAAGCGGAGGTGCAAGAGGGGAACGGGTCACGGTTTATTGACACGGAGTGTGTGCCATGTGTATCCCTTCATGTCTCACCGCTGATGTTCTAACACTGGGCATTGTTACCCCCGATCGCAGATCAAGAGGTTGGGGTAACTTGCCTAATGCCTCAAGCCCGGGATGTGCTGAGGCCCTGGCCAGGCCCCAGTGGGACTCTAAAGGCCATGTCCATCTTTGGGACAAGCAGCAGATGTAGAGCCTGTCTCCTTGGAATTTTTGCTGTACCCTCAATGCAGGCTGGCCCGATGTACGGAGACCCTCTGTGACTTGTTCTTCCTTATGCCTTAAAAAAACCCAACCAGCTGGCATCTGTCACAGTTGACACACTTTACTAAGGGTTGGTTGGCACGTCATCTCTAGAACCTATCGCAACCTGACTGTTGAATGAGTACGTTCAGGAAACTTGGTGTAGGAGAGGCTTGTTTTTCTCTTCTCCCATTTGTTGCACACTTTTGCAGGAGGGGAGCAACATTAGTTTAGGGCCCTTTGGCTGCAACACAGGCTGACTCTGGTGGTGGACAAGCTAAACGGGAATTTTTCAGAGGGATGACAGTTTGTTCACAGGTGCCTGGGCAGACGCAGGGCCAGGTCATGGAGCTTGGGCACCTGGAACTCGCTGTCTCTCTCCTCCAGGCACCTCTGCCAAAACCACAGCCTCCACCACTCACTTCAGGAGCCCTAATCCCAGAGAGAAGGTCCAGGTCCACCCCGTCACTAAAGTGACACTCGGAGGACAGACAGGCCACCCTCCTATGGAAGTTAGACGTGTTAGCATCCGCTAGGCTAACACTGGATTTCTTTTATCTGCTGGATATCCGTAGTCCAGAATTAGAAATCCAGTCCTCTTCCATTTAAATGTGTTATTATTGACAGTGTCAAGAGTATAAAATCAGAATGTTCCTTCACTCAGTTCCATCAAAACTCACTGTTCTCCTGTATCCCACCGGCACGTTTCCCCCCCATTCCAACGCGGTTCTTTTTTCAAATGTTTTTGTAAAGTAAAAATGACGTGCATTGATGTGCTGACATGATACACCCACATCCCTGATAAGAGGTATCCATGTTTTTTTTCTTTCTTTTTAAAAATTGATTGATCGATTCGAGAAAGAAACATCGACTGGCTGTTCCACCCACCCATGCATTCATTGGTTGCTTCTTGTATGTGCTCTTCCTGGGGATCAAACCCGCAGTCTTAGGTTGTAGCAGGATGACACGCTAAGCAACTGAGCTACCGGGCCAGCGTGGCATCGGTGTTTTCTTGATTGTGCTAAGTGTTTGGTTGTGGCACAGGTTCTCGTGTCTTCACAGGGTTTAACTCAGGCGAAAATATATTTGGAGTAGCGATTCCCTTATGTTTTGCTATATTTGTTCTTTTTTTTTTTTGTCTGGGTTTTAGGGGTTTAAGCCGAGCTCCGGAACAGTCCAGGAGCTGAATTTCCGCAGCAACAAGAACGTGTGGGGCTATTTCAGCGTGGCCGCTGCTGGGGGCTTACACGAGTTCGCCGATTCCCAGTTCGGGCACTGCTTCTCCTGGGGAGAGAACCGGGAAGAGGCCATTTCGTCAGTATTTCCCTTCTCCCCTCCCTTCCTTCCTTCCTTCCTCCCTTTCTCCCCCCCCCCACCCCGTGCCTTTCATCCTTTAAGAAATTGAAAGTTGGCCTGAGGCTGCAGATGCAGGAGCCAGTTAGGAGATCAAGGGGGGCGACTGCATTGCAGACCCTGTTCAAACACCCTGAGCTGAAGCGCCAGGACCAAGTCCGCCCTCTTCCTGTGTTTGAGCTCCATGAAGTAATATGACCTGTCCAAGGTCGTTGCTCTAGAGCTATTGCAGGTCGAACTTGAAGGAGGTCCAAAGAATGTTCAAGGTGATTTCCAAAAGTTTAAAAGGTGCTGAGTACTATAGCTTTTTATAGTTTTTTAATATTATTTTATTTACTTTTAAAGATTTTGTTTATTTAGAGAGAGGGGAAGGGAGGGAGAAAGAGTGGGAGAGAAACATTGATGTGTACTTGCCTCTCATGTGTCTCCTGCTGAGGACCTGGCCTGCAAACTAGGCATGTGCCCCAAATGGGAATCGAACCGATGATCCTTTGGTTTGCAGGCCAGCACTCAATCCACTGAGCCACACTAGCCTGGGCACTATAGTTTTTTTTTTTTAAAGGTGTGTATGTATGGGGGCAGGAATCTCTTATAAATTTAAATTTCACAAATAGTTCCTGGAGAAGCCCATGTTAACAAAGGGGCCCCCGAATTTCAAAACACACCTTTATCCTGCCTTGACCTGGGTGCAGAGAGGTCAAAACCGGTTCCCATGGTAGCTCAATGTTCTTGTGTTGGTGGGTGACTGTCTTTTAGAGTGAGAAATTCAAAAGGCATTGTGGATATTTTATTTAAAAACCAATAAATTATCTGGCCTGGGCACTTAGCCATGAATTAAATTGAGTTTGGTGGTTTTGATGAGTGGGCTTCTTTTTTTTTTTACTAACTTCAAATGATTAATTTTAATCATGCACGGTAAAAAACGGAGACCGCGAAGCTTAGAGAGAATTGCAGCAGCTAAGAATGAATAGGGGGAGGGAAGGAGGGCGCTGGCCGAGTCGACTCCAAATGGAACGGGGCGTGTGGCTTGGCTCGTGCTGTGAATGAATGACCAGCAGCAGCTTCAGCAGGATTCAGAGGAAAACATTCCAGCTCTTTGTGCTGCTGTCAGCGTCCCGCAGGGGATCAGTTTCCCCGGTGTTCCTGGGGCTGGCGGATTTCTCAGGCTAACACTGAGCAAACGGGGACAAACTGGTCACCCTGAGTCCAGTTGCTTAACTCCTAGATGCAGGTTTGGGCCCCACAACTGTGGCCTGTGGACACCCTAACTTGACCTCAGTGTATCTGCATTGGCACGCCCCGCAAGTGGGGTGGCCCTTTTGGCACGCCTGCTGACAGCACCCAGGAATGCCGTAACGGGCGAAAGCTCTGCCCTCCCTGGGGGGAGGCCTTCCGATGCCTCCTCTATTTTTGGCTCATCTCCCCCAAAACACTGTCCCTGTGATTTCACGGGGAGTGGCCGTCTCAGCCCTTGGACCGGAGGCCCTGTCTGGGTGGAGGCAGCCACCTGGGAAATGGGAGTTGGTGACCAGCCGAGCCCTGAGCAGGTTAACGGTGCTCAGGGTCTGCAGGTGCACCCCATGCACACCAGGGAGGGCAGCTGTGCATGCGGCCAGAGGGCGGCACCAGCTCGGGGACACAGGGATGTGAATGGGTCCAGTGGGAGAGAAAGGCAGGATGACTGGCAATGGTTAATTAGAACTATCATCGTGGTAATTAATCATGTTTATAGCGGATAACAGTTACTGATCTGTGACGGGGTGCTTTGTATGGATTGGCTCATTGTAATCCTCAAGCCCCTGTGTGAAGTCAGGGTGATTTCCCCATTTTCCAGATGAGGAAACGGAGGCCCCAGCAGGTAAGTTACCCAACCAGTAGATGGCCGGAGCCAAGATGGACCCCCTTAATGTCTGTGTGGTTCCACCTCTCTGTGAACCACGAGGGAGCCCTGTGTGCTAATACAGGAAATAACCTGTGTGCCTGTCCCTTCCAGGAACATGGTGGTGGCTTTGAAGGAACTGTCCATCCGGGGCGACTTCAGGACCACCGTGGAGTATCTCGTTAACCTTCTGGAGACCGAGAGTTTCCAGAACAACGACATCGACACTGGGTGGTTGGACCACCTCATTGCTGAGAAAGTGCAGGTGCGGGGCTGCACACACGTCCCCTGCGGTCCCAGAGAGCCTCCCCACCCCCGAGCATCCTGAGGGCTTGGTTGCTGTGGGCACTGAAGCTCGGGGTCTTTCCTAGGCAGAAAAGCCAGATGTCATGCTCGGGGTGGTGTGTGGAGCCTTGAACGTGGCCGATGCGATGTTCCGAACCTGCATGACCGATTTCTTACACTCGCTGGAAAGGTAGGGCGTGTAGGTAATTTTTTTCCCCTTTTGGGAAATGCGTGAGCGGCAAGGAAGACAGAACGTGCTTTATTTGGGTGGGAGTCAGCCTCCAGGAAATGAGTGAACCCCTCTTACGTGCTTCCCTCTGCAATTCCTGGGAGAACCCTGGGCTGCCCCGGAAGAAGCCCGGGAGATGGGCTTCTCAAGGCCAAGGTGGCAGTTAAAATAGAGACAGTTGTGTGTTTATCTGTCGTGTGCTGCCTTGTGTCGGGTATGTTGTCAGAGTCATAGGCTGTGTATTTTGGTCTCTCCCAAACCCTCACCTGAATCAGAAGGTGCTAGTGGCCCCGGCTGGGGAGCTCAGTTGGTTAGAGCATCACCTCTATATGCCAGGGTTGTGGGTTCGATCCCTGGTCAGGGCACATGCAGGAGTCAACCAGCGAATGCATGGATATGTGAAACAACAAATTGACTTTTCTCCCTCTCCTTTTGTCTCTCGCCCTCTAAAATTACTGGGCGGGGGGGAAGGTGCCTAGTGAAATGGACCAGCATGGAAGTGGTCAGGCGCTCACTGCGGGGATGGGCTGGGGTTTCTCAGCCTCAGCCCCACCGGCATTTTGGGCTGGATCATTTTGTGCTCTGGGTGGTCCTGTGCAGTGTGGGGTGTAAGCAGCATCCCTGGCCCCATCCATAGTGTCCCCTCTCCCCTAGAGCCATGACAGTCAGATACAGAGTGCTGACCTCATGGCATAAATATGTCTCCCGAGGTGGCCAGGTGTCCCGAGGGTGCATGTAAAAATTGCCGGAGGATGAGAATCTCTGTGAAAGGCAAAGGAAGCTTCCAAAAGGAAGGGGCCAAGTTTTTAGCACTTTGTTGCCGTGCTTTTGAATGGAGGTAGAATCGCAGTCTGGGCGCCGGTTCCTTCCTAAGCAGGCATCAGGGTTTCCCCTGCACAGGATTCTTGGCGGAGAAGCTATTATGGATTTAGCTTCCTGAAACCTTTTGAAATTTCCCATCCTTCGGAAAGTGCAATTTCCCTAAGTTCTGAGGAATGTCAGCCTCCTTGAGATGGTACTTGCTTCTTGCCTTTTAATCAGATGTAGATTTGGTCGCTCCCAGGCTGACCACAGTCTGTCTTCTGCTTCAGGGGCCAGGTCCTCCCCGCAGCGTCCCTGCGTAACACGGTGGACGTGGAGTTGATTTACGGAGGCGTTAAGTACGTCCTCAAGGTAAAGACCCGCGTTTCTCGGATGCCTCCGACACCCCCGAGTTCTGAGGGAGGGAGTTTCTATTCCTGTGCCATCCCTGGAGTGGGTTTTCTCAGGCCTGGGTCTCAAGATGCCCCAGGCAGCCCATGACCTTGAAACCTGGATGCCATGGGTTCGAGAGCGCATAGGCTTGAGGAATACGCATGAGGCACGGTGGCTGCTGTCACCAAGTACCACCAACCGGTGGCTTCAAATGGGGAATTTGTTCTCTCACAGTTCTGGGGGCCTGAAGTCCGCAACCAAGGCGTGGGCTGGGCCTGGTCTCTGTGAAGGCTCCAGGGGGAGCCATCCCCCGCTTTCCCAGCTTCCCATGGTTGTGGGCAGTCCCCGGGGCTCCTGGCTGGCAGACCTCACTCCAGTCCCGGTCTCCAGCTTCACACGGCCCTCCTTCCTCTGGGCGTGTCTTTCTTCTGCGCCTGCGTCTCTGGGTCTCTCCTCTTTCCTCTGGTACAAACTCGATTGGTCCCATGTGACCTCCTCTTAACAAAGTCGCCTGTGAAGACCCTGTTTTCAATAAGGTTACCTTCTGGGGTACCCGTTAGGAATCTGGGGGACACCATCCAACCCAGTATGGAGCATGAATAGGGTCATTGCTGGGCAAGGCCTGTGAGCCTGGCCTGGTCTTTCTTCCTCCCCGAGAGTCCGTGTGCGGGGTTCTGACCTCTTCCTGGGCCGCCTCTGGTGTCCCTGGAGCTAGCTACTTGGGGTTGCTCTCCTCTGGCAGAGGTCACGGAGGTGCCTTTCCTGGGCCATCCGAGCTCAGATCAGCAGAGAGAGTCAAGGAGCATCTGAGAGGTGTGGGTGCAGAGTGAGGCGGAGGGTCTAAGTAGGGGGTGCCCTGCAGGGACAAACTGTCCCCAGGAAGCCAAGGCCTCCCCAGCACTTCCAGTCTCCCATTCTGAGGCTGGAAAAGAGGACGGAGTTCAAGTATGCTTCTGAGGTGGGTTTTTTTTTTCTTGTACTTCTATTTTGAAGACTGCCAAACACGTGTCAAACTTTCAACTTCGGAGATGTTTAGGCTTCATTCAGCCAAATAAGCGTGTTGTCCACGGGAGTGTGCTGTAAAACCACTCCCCTTTTGCCCCCAAGGCATCCTGGCTACCTTTGGGGGCCTGGGTACCCCCAGCTTGGTATGACGTATGGCGCACTCTCATAGAAAGTTTCACAATTTCAAACAGGAATAAAGCGGCAGGAAACCACATGCACTGGCGCCTGGAGGCAATCCCTGTTGTCAGCATCTCCCTTCCATTGTTTGTGTGCTCCCAGCACTGATTTTGCAAAGGCGAGGTCATGGGGCAGAGGGAGGGGGGTCGAGGCAGTAGAACTTACAGGAGGGATGGACACGCTCCAGACCTGCGCTGCCCAGGAAGGGCCGCCGGTGGCTCCTGAGCACCTGCAGTGTGGTGGGTGAAACTGTAATTCTACATTTTATTTAATTTTTATATTTGCATTTAAATAGCCGCGAGTGTCCAGGGGCTACCACATTCGACAGTGTAGGTCTAGAGTAGTTATTTCATTGCAAGGTGGTTGGATAGCTAGTTTGGTTCTTACCGTCACCATAGTTGATGCGATAATGTATTCCTACATTTCTCGTTATCTTTGGTCTCGAATTTGTATTTTATAGGGTGAGGGCTCTTCAGAGCATTAGTTTTCTGAGAGGGAACATGCCCATTGCGCTGACAGCCGCATGGGGCCAGTACGTCAGGTTGAAAGGCAAAGCTGAAACTTGACCCTCTGTGCCTCTTTCAAGTGTCCCACGTGTCCTGGAGGCCCCTGGGCACAGCCATGTTCAGGGGACAGAGGCCTGGTCCCCATCACTGGTGGAGGCCCCAGGGCTATCTCACCCACACGAGCCCCCCTCGTGGCCCTGCTGCCCAGTGTGGCCCTGCTAGGGGCTGACGCATGGGGGCAGGACTCGGAACAAGAGTGCACAGGTGGGAGAGGTGGCTGGCGGGACCCGGCCCTCAGTCATCAGCCTCCCCGTGGGGCAGGAATGGGGCAGGAATGGGGCAGGAATGGCGCAGGAATGGCGTTCTTTCTGCACCTCCCTCCCTGTCTGCTTCCTTTCCGGGTGAGTGGGGGCTGGGACGGGATAGGCAAGGTGTCCGCCCTGGCACCCCAACAGTGGACACTAGTCCTGGCTCCTGGTTGGGGAAGGCGAGACAGTGTTCTGGGGGCAGAGGGACAAGCAGACATCCTGAGTTCAGGTAGGGACATTGAACCTGTCTCCACAGGTGGCCCGGCAGTCTCTGACCATGTTTGTCCTCATCATGAATGGCTGTCACATCGAAATCGACGCCCACCGGCTGAACGATGGCGGGCTTCTTCTGTCCTACAGCGGTAACAGCTACACGACCTACATGAAGGAGGAGGTCAACAGGTGTGTGGGGCACTTGTCCCGCCGGCCCAGGCCGCAGAGCCCGCGCTCTCCCCTGGGAGTGATGATGCGAATCCACCCTTCCTGCAGCCCGAGGGTCTTAGATAAAGTGTCTTACCCGGTGGGTGCTGGGGCCCGTGGAGAGAGGTTAATCTCTTGGCCAAATTCCACACAACTGGCAGGCATTTGTGGGGCGTGCCCAGGGGGCCCTTGTCTAGTGACCTTAGAGAGTTCAGAACTTAGTGGGCTGTGCACCTTCCCAGGCAGAAGTTCTGACTCAGCTCCACAGCATTTGAGGTGTGGGATGCAGGGCCAGCTGCCCGCGTCTGAGCTGTAGCGGCCGCCCCATCTAATGTGACTCCAGGCTTGGAGGAGATGCCGCCACCCAGTTAGGACAGCAGCTGTTTATGGAGTGTCCACTTGTGCCGGACGTCAGGCTAGGTGTTGGGATAAAGCTGTGGTCATGACTTATGGGCCTGTCAGGAAAGGTGACACATGGAGCAAGCAGACCGTGGCGGGCAGGGTCGCCGTGTGCCCAGGCGGGAGAAATACGGGGTACCCTAGGAGCACTTAGCACAGGGCCTCCTGAGGTGGACCCAGAGACCCTCCACTCTGGCTCATCTGACCTCCCTGGGTTTGCACGGTGAACGTGGGCCCCCCAACTGAGCAGGCGGCGCAGACTCCCCCTACACCCCCACCAAGGAGAGTGAAGTCGGGGAGGGGTGGGGCTGCCAGCGCCCCGAGTCTGAAACGGCTCCAGTTAGAGAGCTAGTCTCCCTCCCCAATCCTGGATTGAAGAAGACACACCAGATTCACCCCAGAGCAGTGACTGTATCTCCTCTTTTTAACCCATGTTCTGTCTGCCGAGAATATTCAAGATTACTACAGGGTCCACCCGTGGGCTTGCTCTCCCCAGTCAGTAAATATTTATTGAATAATGTTCATTGATTGCCTTCTCTGGGATTTATGTCAGTAAAAGGAACTAGTTTTCAGCCAGAAAAGGGTCTTCCTTTGCTCCCCCAACTCGCTCCTAATATATTTGTCGTGACTGTCAAATGCCACCGTTTGGGAAAGTGGAGTCCCCTGAGCCGCACCCAGGGCCGCTCTCAGGGCTGCCTTTAGACAGCCCCACTCGGGCCCGCTTGGCGGATGGCCCTCCCCAGTCTCCCCCCTCACTGCTGCCCCTTTTTCCCAGTTACCGGATCACCATTGGCAACAAGACCTGTGTGTTTGAGAAGGAGAACGACCCCACAGTGCTGAGAGCCCCCTCGGCCGGAAAGCTGACGCAGTACACGGTGGAAGACGGGGGCCATGTGGAGGCAGGGGGCAGCTACGCCGAGATGGAGGTGAGCACAGACCAGGTCCTGGGGCTCGGCCAGGCCTCCGCCGCGCCCCCTGTCTCCCCCACTTCCTGCTCCCTGACGTAGGGCTGTCCATTCCTCTTTGCTTCTGCAAATGGTCCTCACCTCTCACCTGGGCCACTGGCTGCAAATTCGTAAGAGAGCCAGTGTGCAGCGTATGGCCCAGATTCCCTGCAATGTTTAAGGGGAAAAACCTTAAAAAGGCACACCTCCCCGGAAATGATGAAGAGCTGATGAGTAAGAATGACGGCGGCGATTGAAAAGTCTTGAGCCCACACTGGCACAAACACCCACCACGGGGCAGGTGCTATTCGGAGCATCTTACCTATCTCTACTTACCTTCTTCAGTCTTCCCAGACATCGTAGGAGATGGGCACGAGTGTGACCCCATCTCACACATGAAGAAATGGGGCCCGAGGAGGCCGGAAACTCCCTTGAGGTTCCGTACGGCCAGGATTCACACGCGGCCTCTATTCCTGGCTGCCAGGGGGAACAGTAACGATAATGGCAATGAAAACACGGGAATGGTGGGCCGGGTTCTCCCTTGTACTCAGCTCTTATAAGAGCCGTGTGAGGCAAGACGGCTGTTACTCCTCATTTTACCAGGGGGGAAACGGAGGCACCCACCGGAGGTCGTAGAGTGACGTGAGGGGCTTGCAGGCCAGGCCTGGCTGACTCGGGTGCCCACTCCTTGACCTGCCCAGCCAAGGAGCACTGGGTTGAGTGCCTGTCGCCCACCCCATGGTAGCAAAATGCATCCAGTCCACATAGCCAGGCTCTCAGGCCGCAGAAATGGACTGCTGACCGACCGAACTGTGCAATGCTTTCTTCGCTCCACTGAATGTTCCCCAGAGGGTTTCCTGCTGCCTTGAGAAAAGCAGCAGGTCACAAATGCACCACACTGTGCAAACATGTGTGTTCATCACCCACCGTGACGTGATTGAACTGCAGTTCTCGGGAAGAGGCTTTACTTCCGAATAAAGATCAGTGGTCACATCTGTAAAACGGGCCCAGAAAACCGACCTCCCCAGCTGGCTCTGCAGGTGGAGAGGGCTGTGAATGGCACCGCTCCTGACTTTGGGGAACTGCTAGTTCCCTCTGTCCTTTCAGCTTGAACTCCTCCCTGGGAGTCGTTCTGTTTGAGTGACGCTGGCCCTGCCCCGGAGTGACGAGCTCTGAATGGGTGTCACACACAGGCCAGCCCTGAGGGGCTCTGTCTCACTTCTTTCTGCACAACAGGTGATGAAGATGATCATGGCCTTGAACGTGCAGGAGAGTGGCCAGGTGAAGTACATCAAGCGCCCAGGCGCGGTGCTGGAGGCGGGCTGCGTGGTGGCCAGGCTGGAGCTCGACGACCCCTCTAAAGTGCGCCCGGTACGTAGCGCCCAGCACAGCCCTCAGGCTGGCTCAGGCGCGCCCATGGCCTCTGGCTGTCTGTCCGATGAGCCGAGCAGACTCGAGGCCCCTGGCTCTTCGCTGCCTCCCTGAGTCCTCCTTGTCGCCAGCGTGATGGGTGCAGACATGCCCTCCTTTGCTCACAGCCCTCTCAGTGGTTCTCCATCCCACTTGAAATCCTTCTGAGGACCCGCAAGACCCCAGACAAGCTGGTCCCTCTACTGGGAGGACCCTCCTCCAGATGTTCTCACGGCTCACCCTCTCCCCTGCCGTGAGCTTTTACTCAGTAATGCTTTGGACAGAGTGGACACTCAGGAAACGTAGGTCTTGATGATCGTTTACACCCTTTTAAGTGACCCATGCAGACGGGGGTGCACCTGTCACTCATCCGTGTATTGTTCTTTTCTCCGAGATTATCAGTTCATCTGCCTGGGGAAAAAGCCAGAAAAGTACTTTTAAAAATCAAATTGTTTCTTTTCTGCAGACAATTCTATTAGAGTTTGGTTTGTTTTCCTTTCATTCTCTTTATTATTCTCTTTCGGGGGTTCCCAAAGCTAGACAGAGACTGGGCCTTTTTAGATCCTCGGTGCCGGCAGCGCGACTCCTTCAGCAGACGTTTCCTGGGCGAGAGGCAGGGGTAGGGCCTGTGCCCTGCGGGCTCCTGTGCGCCTGTGGGCCGCGAGCCCTTGGGTTCCGTTTGGGAAGTCCATCAGCAGGCCGCCCTGGGCCCTGGCTGTGGGAGGCCCGGCGGAGAAGCCAGCTCCCGACTGGAGAAGAAAACCCTCTAGTTAGCTCTTCAAGGACGAGAGGAGGGTTGGGCGGCGGGGGCAGGAAGTTGAGGGGTCCGGGCCAGCAGAATGGATGTCCCAAACCTCTGGGCCCAGTGTCTCACACGTAGTAGGTGGTCAGTGGATGCTTATAGAATGTGTTCGTAGACAAAGGGGCACATTGAGTCCATCTTGCCCTTTTGGGAAACTTTTAGCGTTTTGATCCTCTGAGGCTAAATGTTTACGATTTACGAAAATCAGGTACATTTGTATGAGGGTTCTATACATTTTTATCCTGCTAGGTATTAATCTTTGGGACACCACAGAGACGGAAAATAAATGGAGAAAATAAGGAGCTCACGTTCGTGAGAAAGCAAAGCAAAGCAATCCAGCCCCCTCCAAAATTATTCGGGGGACATGATTTACACAGTGATATTTGCAAAGGGGAGGATTTGGAAAATTGTACAGGGGTGTGAATGTAACAATTTTTGCTTTCCAACATGTTTTCTTCTGTTTGTTCTCACCGGCTTCATCCTAAGGGGATTGTGTTCTTGTAGATCTGCCTCGGCCCTTGGCTCGTCTCAGTCGAGAGGCCATGGAGGCCTTGACCTCTGGTTCTTGTCCTGTCTCATCAGGCCCAGCTGTTCACAGGAGAGCTCCCGCCCCAGCCAACCTTGCCCATCATGGGGGAGAAGCTGAACCAGGTCTTCCACAGCGTCCTGGAAAACCTGATTAACGTCATGAACGGCTACTGCCTGCCCGAGCCCATTTTTAGCATAAAGGTAGGTCACGGGTGAAGGGCGGGTGTGTGTTCTCAGGGAGTGCGTGGGTCCAGGTGATGAGCTGGGAGGACTCACTCCATGAGGTCGGAGGTCTTTAGTGATGTAAGGACAAGAAAATGGTTAGTCCGTCCCTCTGCTGTTTTTATAAAAGACCCACTTCTCCATTTGTGCACATCTGGGGCTTTTCTCTTTGAGGATAAACCGTTGTGAAAGCGACCGTTGGTTTTTCAGAGTTTATTCAGCTCAGTGTTGAGAGCGTCCAGGCAGTAGGTAGGAAAGGGGTCCGGGTGGGCCACACCTTTGGAGAGAGAAGGAGGGCGGCACTCTGTTCAGAAACACTGTTCCCGGGTCACCGTCCCAGGGGCCTTCTGTCTGTCTGCTCGCTCTGGAGAGAAATAAGTTCTCAAATTTGCAGACCCCCGTGAAGGACCCAGGGAAGGACCCACCGGCAGTAGCGATAAAACCCTGTGCATCACATTCTATCTGAAAATAGCAAATCCCGGGGCTAACAACAGGGACCGACCTGCGTCTCGTACATACTGCATGCCAGTTACTACTCTAAGCACTTAGAATTTATTGTCGTTCAGTCTTCCCAACAACCTGTGAGGTAGGAACTCTTACTACTTCAGTTTTTCAGACGAGGAACCCGAGGCACAGAGAGGCTGAGACACTTGCCCTATTTTACTCTTAAAGAGTCAAGGATGAGATTTGAACCCTTGCCATCTGGCTTCAGAGTCCATGCTCTTAACCCCTCTGCTGTGCTGCCTAACTGTGGTTGCGTTCATTGAAACCTTTATTTAGTCTTTGCTCTTGTTAGTGCATGCAGCACTTTATTTCTAAACCCCATAACCACGTTGAGTCTCTGGAGCCAGATGGCCTGACTTAGCACCCCAGCTCTTTCTGGCTGGGTGGCTCTGGACAACTTACTCATCTCCTCAGTCTCCTCATCCGTAAAATGGGAACGAGGCTTGTAGCTACTTTGCAGGGGTGTTTCTGAGGATCGAATGTGAAGGTGCAGAGACCTGGCACTGAGTGTCCCACAGACATTAGCTCTTCACAGGGCCTTATGTCTCAGCCTCACATCAGGCTGGCGGTCTGGGTGCCTATGGAGGCGAGTGGGGGCTCCCTCACCTAGGGGTGGGGAAACTGGGCACCCTCTTGTGGTCAGGGGCCCTTCCCCTTTGGACTGTTCCAGAGTTGCTGAGTCCAGCTCTTTGGCCACGTGGGTGCACGGGGCCTGGATGGGTTGAGTGTGTTGGGTGCCCCGTGGTGGGTGGTGGTGCCCACGCCCTGCAGGGCCTCAGGCCAACGCTGTGGTCCCCGCTGCAGCTGAAGGAGTGGGTGCAGAAGCTCATGATGACCCTCCGCCACCCGTCACTGCCACTGCTGGAGCTGCAGGAGATCATGACCAGTGTGTCGGGCCGCATCCCCACCCCCGTGGAGAAGTCGGTGCGCAGGGTGATGGCCCAGTACGCCGGCAACATAACATCGGTGCTCTGCCAGTTCCCCAGCCAGCAGGTGGGTGCCCGCACTAAGCCAGGTGGCCCCTTGGCTCCTGGTCAGTCTCGACAGCTGTCCCCTGCTCGAGTCGGGCTTCATGAAACCCACTGACAGCCTGAGATGTTGGGGGTTGAGTTTTCTGTCCGGCCTTCTCTGTGCAGTCCCAGCATCTCCCCTGCGCCACAGGCGTTTGGATGAACATAAACAGCCTCGCTCCATAAAACTCGGGTTCTGAGTCAGAGTAAAGAGGCTGAACATTTCCCCAGAATAGGCTGGCTGACATAAGAGGAAGTTGAGTGTTTCTGACTAGTCTGTAGCTTAGATTCTCTCCCTCTAGTTTTGTAAGGTGATCATCTTGCGATTATCTGTAGATATAGTATTTTTGAAAAATGGAAACCATTTCGGGGTGACATAAAAATGTCTAACAGTTCTACATTGGTCTCATTTTTTTGGGTTGCTTTTATCAAGCCTTTAAAGATAGTTTTCATTTAGGAGCCCCCTCTGCCAGTTTCCCGTCGTGCCCTCTGTCTGTCTGTCTGTCTAGAGGGGCTGCCTGCCATCCTCATTCCCCCACCCACACCTTAGCAATTGGGGCAGCTAGAGGTCAGCAAAGGTCATTGCCAGAGGTCAGCCGCTCTAGAGGTCAGACTATTGTTCCGCCATCAAAAGGAATGAAATACTGATTCGTGCCACGTGGAAGCATCTTGAAAAATGGTAGGTGAAAGAAGCCAGTCATCAGGGACCATGTGTCACGTGATTCTGTCCACACGAAACCGTGCAGGGCGGGCAAATCCATGGAGAATGGAAGGTGACTGACGATTGCCTGGGCCTGGGGGAAGGACAGTGGGGAGGGTGGCAGGTTCCTTTCAGGGGGGATGAAATGCTATCAAATTAGGTTGAGGCGATGTTTGCACAACTCGGCAAATATGCTAAAAACCACTAAATTACTTATATACTTTAAGGGGGGCTATTATAGATGAGTTATAGCCTCACTAAAAAATAAAAGCAAACCTCTAAAGGACCCCAATTAAGAAAAGTACATGTGCGGACCTTTGAGGAATTTATCATTGATGCAGCCTTCTACATTTAAAACATTTTTGTTGCCAAAACCAATATGTCAATAACATTCAAACCAATGATAAAATAGAACCCTCCCAGCACCCCTGTGCTCCCTGGGTTTGGCAGTTCCCTTCTCCTCTTCTCCGGGAGCCCCCATGCTTGTGGAGAGGCAAATGCAAAAGGGGAGCGTGTCTTTATGGCTGTGTTGTTGTTCTGGACTCTTGGATTCCTCAAACAGTGCATCCAGTGGGATGAATGGAGCTGTTTCTGGGCGGCCAGAGGGCTTTGGGGCTGGAATTTTTTTTTTTCAAATGAGCCTGTGGTAGGCCCTTTGGGTGACTTCTGTGTGGCGACTGGATCACGTGGTCATGAGTGGCCAGACCTGTCCTTTTTCCCCACCCAGATAGCCACCATCCTGGACTGCCACGCAGCCACGCTGCAGCGGAAGGCCGACCGGGAAGTCTTCTTCATGAATACGCAGAGCATTGTGCAGCTGGTCCAGAGGTGAACCTTGGGCTCTCCGTGGAGGGCGGTTGTCCTGCTGAGTCGGGCTGTGTATTGCACCAGGGTGGTGCTCTGTGGGTCTCCGAAGGGCAGGCTTGAACTGGGAGTTAGCCCCTGGGGTCAAGGGACCCTGACTGTGGTCCTGGCATAGCCATTCCTGACAGTGGAACCCCGGGCAAGGCACTTAATTACCTCTATGCAGATCAGTTTGCCAGTGTGTAAAATGGGAATAAAAACACCTCATGCACAATAAGGCATTCTGAGTTCTAAGTGGATTATTATTTTTTTAATTTATTGATTTTAGGGGGGACATTGATTTGCTGTTCTATTTATCTACGCATTCATTGGTTGCTTCTTGTATATGTGCCTGACTAGGGATTGAACCTGCAACCTTGGCATTTCAGGATGATGTTCTACCCAACTGAGCTACCCGGCCGGGGCTAAGTGGATTAATTTTTGTACAGTCCTGATAGAGAGTCCTCGTGGCAGCTTCGACTAAGGGACAATGGGACTCAATGGCTTTCTATGCCGCAAAGGACTTTACAAGTTAGCATTGCGGTTTGGGGGCATCCCCACAAAGGAGCGTTGATGGAGACTCTGTGTTCTTTCTTGAGTAGCGGCTGCGCAGGGAGAACTAGTCTGATGAGACAAGAACTGCCACTTTGCGCGAAGAATATACCCAGCGAGAAACCTTTGCTTAGAAAGACAGAATCCTCAGACTGGAGCGAGTTAATTCAGCTCACATGCTCCATGTTCCAGAAACTACCAGAGGTGCAGAGAATGTAGGAGACAGCCCTTCTTTTTAGGGGACTTTCTGGCTCATAGGGACTCTCAGTGACCATAGAGGTAGTATTGAAGCTGATGAAGGAGGCCTTGGTGTGGATTTCCCACAGAGAGAGTCTCACAGCCGAGTGGGGGGGGGGGCAGAGCGGGGGCAGGAGGAGTCCCTCCCAGGAGGCTTTACCTGCTAACCTTAAACCCATCCTTCAGCTTCCAAGAAACACCTAAAAGAATCAGACCGATGGTAAATTAATTGAATTCCCTAGCAGATTTTTTGGTGTTGCACGTAAATATCAAAGCTCTATCCTATGTTGTGTGTTTTTAAAATCACATTTGAGCCCTGGCTGGCGTAGCTCAGTGGATTGAGCCCAGGCCTGCAAACCAAAGGATCGCAGTTTGATTCCCAGTCAGGACACAGGCCTGGGTTGCAGGCCAGTCCCCAGCAGGGTACTCAAGAGAGGCAACCATACATTGATGTTTCTCTCCCTCTCTCCTTCCCTTTCCCTCTGAAGGTAAATAAATAAAATCTTTTTAAAAATCACATTTGAAGAAGCTAGTGTTGTGGGTTCTTCTGTTTTCTCCTTATTTGGCGATGCAGGGGTTAAGCTGGTTTCAACTGTAAATGTCCCGCTTCCTCAGAAACCCTCTTTCCCGTGTTCAGAAACATCAGGAAGAGGAAATGTTTTAGGGAATGTCCAGGATACAATTCGGTTTTCAAAGGGAAGCAGGATTTACACAGAGATCTTTTGGGGAATGTCTTTCAAGTCCGTTTTTTTTCAAACCGTCTTTACCTATTAGATGGTTAATTGAAAATTGTCCTTTTCGACCATGCATGCAAGGCTGACCCTTTCAGCATCCCAAATCTGTAAGAGAGTTTCCGGCTACCCATTCAAAGGCTCAGGCCTGGCCTCTGGTTTGATGTTTGACCTTGGATGAGTCCCTGCCTTCCGTGTCCTACAAAGTCAGTGCAAATGCACCAACTGGCACATCTCTCCCAGGCCCAGGATTGGAGGGGGTAGGGTGGGGGAGGTGCATCCCCCAAATGCTTTATTAGTTTTATTTCCTCTCTGAAACCCTACAAGCCCCGTCTGTAGATACTCAGGCACGCCGACGAGTGGAGTCAATCACTAAGGCAGCCTTCCCTTCCTCCCCAGGTACCGTAGCGGGACCCGTGGATACATGAAGGTGGTGGTGTTGGATCTGCTGAAAAGATACCTGCAAGTCGAGCACCATTTCCAACAAGGCAAGAGTCGCCGTGGGCGCTGGTGACAAGCCCACAGTGTAGGAGGGGCCCCGAGCCTTACCCCCTTGCGGCCTTTTGTCTCCCTGTAGCCCACTACGACAAGTGCGTGATAAACCTCAGGGAGCAGCTGAAGCCAGACATGTCCCAGGTGCTGGACTGTATCTTCTCCCACGCGCAGGTGGCCAAGAAGAACCAGCTGGTGATCATGTTGATCGTAAGCAGGAAAGGGCACCCTCTACCCAGAGTGGGGGTGGGCGGGGGCAGCTCAAAGGTCTGCGGACTTTTCTGGAAAGGGCCTGAGAGTAAATATTTTAGATTTTGCTGGTCGTATGGTCTCTGTCCAGACCACTCAAAGCTGCCACTATACAGTGTAAGCGAATGTGCATGACTGTGTCCCGATAAACTTCGTTCACAAAACCAAGCAGCGGGCGGGGTTTGTCAGCCCCTGGGAGAGGTCATAGCTGACCAAAGCACCTGCTGTGTGCCAGACACTCCTGCCATGGCCTCTGTGAGCCTCAGTTTCCTCATCTGTAAAATGGGGGTCGTGATAGCAACCCCTCTGAGGGTTGGGAGCACCTGGGGAGATGAATGTCAAGGGTCTCGCCGCGTGCCTGGCACCTAGTGAGCACCCCCCGATCTCCGGCCGTTGGCAGCGATGCAGGCACAGACATAGATGTGCTTTTGTCTTCCCAGGTGTTTAGGGCACATTTGGGGAGATGGATGAATGAATGGGCGTGCACAGTGGAAAGGGGTGAGGGTGTGTGCATCAGGCTACCTTCCCTGTGTCTTCAGAGGACCGGGCAGCTGTCTAGTTTGCCGGGGGCAGCCACACCCCTGGAAGAGGATGAGGGCCAGCATGTTTGCTCCTGGAAGTCAAAAGCCACTTAGATTCTGTTTTGTGCCCCGAAGGATGAACTCTGTGGCCCAGACCCTTCCCTGTCGGAGGAACTGACCTCCATCCTCAATGAGCTCACCCAGCTGAGCAAGAGCGAGCACTGCAAAGTGGCCCTCCGAGCCAGACAGGTAGGGCTGTGGGGCTACCCCCACTGTGTGGGGGCCGTCCTCCCTGCCAGGCTTGGCCCCCACCATGCATGGCCCCTCTGCTGCTCTCTGTGTCCAGGCCCAGCCCTTGGCTTCTCCCTATGAGGCTGGCTTACCCCAGCCCCTCCGACCCCTCCCCTGCAGGTCCTGATCGCCTCCCACCTCCCCTCCTATGAGCTGAGGCACAACCAGGTGGAGTCCATTTTCCTGTCTGCCATCGACAGGTATGGCCACCAGTTCTGCCCGGAAAACCTCAAGGTGAGGCTGTCTCCATCCCTCCAGCTTCCACACCCTGCTTCCCCCCCACCCCACCCTCAGTGTGCAGGCACCAGCCACCAGGCGCAGTGACAGACACCAGCAGCTCAGCCCAGTGTGGCTGTGGCTGCCCGAGGGGTCCCCGGAGGAGTCCCAGGCAGCGAGGCTCACTGGGAAGGATGATTTTAAAAACTCGGGTGTGATGGACCTTTGGAAGCTGCAAGCCTTGGATGACTGAGTCACAGCTTCACCTTCCCAGGGGCTCCCCCGTTCCCCTGCTCTGCCTCACTGACAAGCTTCCAGGGGCACCCTCCACACTTAACGGTTGCAGGCAGCTCAGAGCCACTTCCCCATTCAGATATTACGGGCCTGGGGTGCTGGCAGCGTTTGGTGATGACCCCTCTGGCTTCTCCCCTTTGTTCCCGCCCCTCTCACTCATCTGACTGGTGGTTAAAACGTCTTAACATTTACTTTTCTCTTTTTTTTCTTCCCATTCTCTGTAGAAATTGATACTCTCGGAAACGACCATATTTGATGTGCTGCCTTCTTTCTTCTATCACGCTAACAAGGTCGTGTGCATGGCGTCCTTGGAGGTAAGTGGGAGAGGCCTCTATGACAGCATGGTGCCGCCCCTGCCAGTTCCAGCATCGTTTTGCCTATTGGGTTAAAAACCTCGCAGTGCCTGCCCTGGCTGGTGTAGCCCAGTGGATTGAGCGCTGGCCTGTGAACTAAAGGATCGCCGGTTCGATTCCCAGTCAGGGTACATGCCTGGGTTGTGGGCCAGGTCCCCAGATGGGGGCATGTGAGAGGCAACCACATATTGATGTTTCTCTCCCTCTCTTCCTCCCTTCCTCTTTCTCTAAAAATAAATCTTTAAAAAAAAACCAGAACTCCCAGAGCTTAAACTGTAGAACGGTGCTGTCCATTGTGGCAGCTGCTGGCCACGTGTGACCAGTGAGCCCTTGAGGTGTGTTGACTCTGAACTGAAGTGTGCCCCAAGTGTGTGCATGCTGGATTCCAAAGTCTTCATATGGAGAAAGAGTTTAAAATACCTCACTATTTTTTCATATTGATCACATGTTGAAATGATGATCTTCTGGGTGTTGGGGCCAAAATGAAGTTATTATGAAAATTATTTTAACCTGGTGCCTTTTTTAAAAAGTGGCTACCGGAAATTTTTTAATTAATTTAAAATGGCACGTGTGGCTTGTTGTTACCTTGCTATTGGACAGACCTGCTGTAGAGCAGGAGGTGGGAAACTACAGCCCTCGGGTTGTACACACCTGTCCCCCTGCTTATGTGTATAAATAAAGTTTTATTGGAACAGACGTGCCTGCCTCTGAGCTACCACAGCAGAATCGAGTAGTTGTGATAAAGATGATACATCTTGCAAAGCCTAGAATATTTACTCTCTAGCCGTTTGCAGAGAAAGCAACGTTCTGAAACGTGAGCGAACTTGCCCTTAACTACCACTTAGAGATGATTTGGAGATCGCTTCTCCAGCCCAAATGTTCTCAGGTTTTGAGGGCATACCACGGTACCCGCTTTGAGAATGTCCCCTGTGCTTCTGTTCCATTAGGTTTATGTGCGGAGGGGCTACATCGCCTATGAGCTAAACAGCCTGCAGCACCGGCAGCTCCCGGACGGCACCTGCGTGGTGGAATTCCAATTCATGCTGCCCTCCTCCCACCCAAACCGGTATGGAGCCATCCACTCCTGCGGTGGCTTGTGTTTCTTTTCTCCCTGTTCCACTGTCATCCTGCCTCTGGAGGGACCCAGCCGGTACATCTGGGGAGACATCAGGGACACCGCTCCCCCACTGTGGCAGTGTGATGGCTGGGGAGGGACTAGGGGAGCTGAGGCCAGGAGTGTTTCCCAAAAACCGAGCCTGCTCCTCACCAGCCTTCTGGGGGAAGGACACTGGGAGAGTGTTCAGTCTTTTTGGCCGAGTTCACTTCTTCATACTTGCCAGGGGCGCCCTTGGGACTAAACTTTCATGCATTCACTACTAATTCATTCATTCATTTGCTTGTTGAGCTCTTCGTCCTCGGCCCCTGGCCCTGACCTCAGTCCCCTCCTGCTCCAATTTTACTCCCTGCTTTGGGGGAGAGCTCGGATGCTGGTTCACCAAAGTCTCCAGGGCAGGATCAGCTCTTGGGGCGGGATCTGCTAGCAGTGGCCTCACCCCCCACCCCCGCCTGTCCCTGTCCCCCCACTCAGGATGGCCGCGCCCATCAGTGTCACCAACCCCGACCTGCTGAGACACAGCACAGAGCTCTTCATGGACAGTGGCTTCTCCCCACTGTCCCAGCGCATGGGCGCCATGGTCGCCTTCAGGAAATTCGAGGAGTTTACCAGGTACCCACCGTGACCCCGTCTCCCCGGCACCCCGAGGGGAGAGGCCCAGGGAGCCGCCTCTGACTCCCCTCTGTTCAAGTGACACCTGGGGTGGGGGTGGCCCAGGCACATGGCACAGAACGTGAATAGTAACAGTTTAATAATATCGGAGCCAAGAGCGTGGGCTTCCGTGTCAGCCTGCCTGCACGTGGATTCTGTTCTGCACTTCCTGACTGTGAGACGCTGGGCAGAGGACCTCTCTCTCTTTACCTTAGTGTTCTCATCTGTGTAATGGGAATCAAAGAAGGACCTCCGTGGGGTCACCAGGAAAACGTAATGAAATAGTACCTTTTAATACCGTATTTAAAATACCACTGGTATATAACTAACATGCTCAGCAAATGTCAGAGATCAGTCCCACTGTGATTACTGCCCTTTTCAACCCAGTCCTGTGTGCCGTGTGTTGTGCTGGGTGACCCTGTGTCTCCACAGCAGTCCCAGGAGCTGCAGTGGTTGCGTCCTGGTTCCCTGTTGTTAGGAGGGTCTCCCAGCTGGGACAAGGGGGGCCCAGCTGATGCTGCAGCACTGGGACAGCCTGCCTTTCATTCATGCTCTCCCATCATGTGGGCTCATTTTTCCCTTTCGGGAAAGATCCCGTCATTGGCCCCTGGGACCTGGTCAGGGACAGAATGAGCTGCAGAGTGGTGGTTGGAAAAAAGGGGGCACTTGGGTGTGACCTGTCACCATGGGAGAGCAGCCCCTCAACCCTCCCTCTCTGTCTTATGTCCCCAGGAACTTTGATGATGTCATCTCCTGCTTCGCCAATGTGGCCGAGGACATGCCCCTCTTCAGCAAGGCCCAGATGTCCATGTACTGTGAGGAGGACAGCAAAGTAAGTGTGTGAGCAGGGAGCCGGAGGGGTAGCGGCCCGGGGCCCCAGGTCCTTGACCGCCTGCCCTTGTTTTTCTCTCCTAGAACCTCAGGGAGGAGCCCATCCACATCCTGAACGTGGCCATCCAGTGCGCTGACCACCCGGAGGACGAGGAGCTGGTGCCGATTCTGCGGACCTTCGTACAGTCCAAGGTACCCTGGGCGTGCCTCTGGTTCTGGGTCCCTGGTAGGGAGGAGCTGCTGGGGAGGTGTCCCATGTGCCCGAGACCGGCTGAGTGTTTCAGAGCCACAGACCCGGCTTCCCACCCTAGCTCTGCTACTCCTCGTTGCCAGTGACCTTGCACAGAGGTGGCTGAATGTAGCAGAGCCTCAGCTTCTTCCCCATAACACTGGGTTAGAGAGGGAGACAGGGAGGGAGAGAAACATCAATGTGTAGTTGCCTCTCCAGCACCCTCTACTGGGGACCTGGCCCACACCCAGGCATGGGCCCTGACTGGGAATCAAACCAGCAACCCTTTGATTCTCAGGCTGGCACTCAATCCACTGAGCCACACCAGCCAAGGCAAAAATCACAATTTAAAAATGGATACTTACAGTCGGCATTTGTGTACGCAGATAACTGCAGGTCGCTTTTATAAGCACGTGGTAGCCATTGTCAGCCTATATTGCCACCTGGCCGTAGGGACAGCTGTTATATATGCTCAAGGACCTCAGCTGCAAACACATGTAGAACATCTTGGCAGGTATAGGTCATGGACACAGCAGGAGAGTGCTGTGTGACCTCAGGCAGGTTGCCATACCTCTTTGATCCTTAGTTTTCCCCATCTGTAAAATGGGATGCTAAGATTCTTAGCATATAATTAATCCAATCTACCAGCCACACCGTCTGGCTGTTAGTTCTCAACCCTCCTGGCTTGGTCTAAACTTCAAGGTTTCTTGGAACATTTCAGCTGTTGCTTTCAGTCTCCTTAGCTAGTGTGTTCCCCGTATTGTCCTGGGGGACTGGACCCCTCTTACCCCCTCTGACATGACGTCCCTCAGGGGACCTGGCCGCGTGCTCAGTCGTGGGTGATGCCATGAAGATTACGGGCATCAATGTTGGTGGTTCACTTAAGCCTTTGCTTGGTTAATCGACAGCTAATCACGTTCACTGTAGACCATGTTTAAAGTTCAGACAGATTTGAAACTAGGTCTTAAAGCCCACGGCCTCACCATCCAGAGGCAGCCACAGTGCATATTTCCTGCACCCAGCCTGCTCCTCCTCAGCTGACATTCTTACTGGGGTTTCAGCTGGGAGCCCACTGCACAGAAAAGGCAACCCCTGGGCTGACGGGGGCTCTCCTGCCCATCAGACCAAACCTGAAGGCGCACTGGGTACTTGGTGATTTTGACCCGGAGCGGGCAGCAGGAGGGGCAGTGAGGAAACCCGCGGTGTGGGCGGCTGTGCCGTGCGTGCCACCTGGCCGTGGGAAGGAAACGGCTCTCTAAACACAGACCCACGTGTGTGAGCCAGAAAAGACTAAACAGATGTATCTTTGCACCAGCAAAGTGTATTTTATATACTTTGTCATATCGAGGAGAGGAGAGCTGGGGAAAAGGAAAGACTTTTACACATTTCTGTGGTTAAAAATCGCTTGTTAGGCAGGTACATGCACACGCATACATTCACATGGATACTCACACATGTACACACACACGTACACGCACACACCGTGCACACCTTCCGTGGAGAGCCAGAGTCCAGGCTCCGGGCAGCCTGGCTGGTTGTCCCAGGTGAGAACCCTCTGCATTTTCCACTTTCTCCTGTTTTCTCTCCAGCCTGCGTTGGCGTTTAGTATTCTTCTGTGTGTCCTTCACCTGCTTCTGAAATGGGCTAAGACGTTTCATTTCCCCTGGTAATTTTCCTTACCATATGCACAAGGTAAACGATAACCTTATCTTCTTCTGGCTACTTTTCCTCTCCCCACAAAACTGGATGTAATCGTGTGCATTACATTCAGGGAGCAACTACAGTTTTGTACTTTCCTTGGATAACTTTTTCTTGAAGTTGAACATGAAGCAAAGTGCACAAGTCGTAGATGCGTAGCCTGCTGAGTTTTCTAAGTGAATTTCCAGGGGTAACCAGCACTGAGATTGAGAAATGAAGGTTTCTGCCCCTTCTCAAGCCCCTTCTGGGTCTCCCCTCCTGCCCCGCAGAGACAGCTGGCCACCACCCTGACTCCTCACGATACTGATGAGTTTTGCGCTGAATTTTATATGAATGAAATCATTCACTCATCCTTTCTTTTTGTGTTTAATAGACCATTGCCCCCTGAAATAACTCAATTTCATTAAAGAGTTCATGAAACATTTTTACAAAGTATGGATATTTTAGCCCTGGCTGGTGTAGCTGAGTGGATTGAATGCGGGCCTGTGAACCAAAGTATCGTGGTTCAATTCCCTGTCAGGGCACATGCCTGGGTTGCAGGCCAGTTCCCAGCAGGGGACGCATGAAAGGCAACCACACATTGATATTTCTCTCCCTTTCTCCTTCCCTTCCCCTCTAAAGATAAATAAATAAAATCTTTTTTAAAAAGTATAGCACCTGACTGGTGTAGCTCAGTGGTTTGAGTGTGGTCCTGCAAACCAAAGGGTTGCCAGTTCGATTCCCAGTCAGGGCACATGCCTGGGTTGTGGGCTAGGTACCCAGTTGGAGACACATGAGGGTCAACCACACATTGATGTTTCTCTCCTTCTCTTTCTCCTTCCCTTTCTCCTTCCCTTCCCCTCTTTCTAAAAGATAAATAAAATCTTTATTTTAAAAAAAAAGTGTGGATATTTTAATATAACATTAAATATGATTCACATAGCGCACCATTCCCCCATTTAAAGTGTACAGTTTGATGCTTTTTGGTGTATATGAATTTCATAACCCTTGTTATATTTTCAGACATTTTCACCACTGCCCCGCAAAGACCCCCTACCTATTATCAGTCACTCCCCATCTTTCTGCGACCTGACACCCTCCTCCTCAGCCCTCGGCTACTGCTGATCTGCTCGCTGACTCTCTGGGTTGGCCTGTCCTGGACATTCCGTATAAATGGGGTCATACAGTATGAGGTCTTTCGTGGCTGGCTTCTTCCTCAGTGTAACGTGTTCAAGGCTAAGCCTCACGCGGACACCTATCAGGACTTTATTCCTTTTTGCGGTCGAGTGTGATTCTGTTGTGTGTTTGCTCTCCATGCAGAAGAACATCCTGGTGGATTATGGACTCCGGAGGATCACATTCCTGATTGCCCAGGAGGTCGGTCCGCCTCTCGGTGCATCCCGAGGGTCTTCCCCACGCTCCTAGCCTCCCTGCCCTTTACCTGACCTGCAGGCTGCACACCGGGGTGGGAGAGGTCGATTGCTAGAGGAGAGATGGCTTTCCACATGACCCACTCGTGACGCAGATGGGGTTGGCGTTAAAAACAGGTGTGCCCATGTTCGGACAAGTCTTGCTTGGTTTAATTGTCTTTTGTGTGGATTTATTCTTGCAGAAAGAATTTCCCAAGTTTTTCACGTTCAGAGCAAGAGATGAGGTATGAGTAAAAGCAGTGTCGTTCTCTCTTCCCCGGCCTCTTTGATATTCAGAAAGACTGTCCCCATCCTTAAGTTAGTTCCATATTCTAGAACGTGCAGCTTTCATGCAGACTCCCACCTTTCTCTGCGATTATATGTCCAAGGAGAGCCCTGAATTTCTACGTGGCGCTCAAACCTCTTACTTCCCACACTTCATCCTCCCCTACCTACCGGTGCCCCTTTCCCGTAGATCAGTCTTGTGTTTGCTGCTGACTCAGTGAGACAGTCCTCCCAACCCGGTTTTCTTGTGATCATCCAGAACAGCGGTCGGCACCCTGTGGCTTGCGGGCTGGCCTCCTGTTCTTATGCACACAGTCTGGAACACGGCCACACCCGTGAGGTCGCATACGGTCTGCCGTGACTTTCTCGCTTCGGCCTCTGAATCCAGTAGCCAAGACAGACCCTGTGGTCCCTTAGTCCTCTGGCCCTTCAGGGAGAACTTTGCTGGTCCCCACTCTAGAGCAGGTGGCCTTGTTCCCGACATGGATTCAAGGCTCCGCCAAATTCAGAATCGTGTATTTTACTTTGTCCAAGGCCTTACTTCTGTAGGTGAGACCCACCTGTTCTCTGGCTTCTTTATTTTCTTAGTTCAGTTTCAAGCATAATCAGCTGCTTTTTTTTTTGAGGACCAATTTCCATAAGGAAGCCAAGAGCCAGTGATTTCTTGAGAAAGACTCTGTGCTGTACCAGGAAAGAGCCTGGGGAGTTCTGGGGACCAACTGGGTTCCCCGGGAGCCCAGTGCCTTCAGGCGGCCCGCACTTCAGACGCGCATGCCCTCTAGGTCTTTGCGAAGTCCCAGGCTTCTTGAGCCCTGGCGGTTGCTCCCTATTGGATGACGCAATGGCCGCTACCTTTGTAGTGCCATACCTGCACACCCAGAGTCTGTGGAACACACCATGCACCCAGCAGGCCTGTGGTCCCATTGTCGGACTCAGGGGGGTGGGGCCTGTGTGTGTCTGTCCATCTTACCCTCCCCGGTCGGCCTGCAGTTTGCTGAGGACCGCATTTACCGTCACCTGGAGCCCGCCCTGGCCTTCCAGCTGGAGCTGAGCCGGATGCACAATTTCGACCTGACCGCCGTGCCCTGCGCCAACCACAAGATGCACCTTTACCTGGGCGCTGCCAAGGTGAAGGAGGGCGTGGAAGTGACAGACCACCGGTTCTTCATCCGTGCCATCATCCGGCACTCGGACCTGATCACAAAGGTAAAGTGTCCCGGGGCGTTTCTTCCTCCGAGCCTGCCGCTTGTGTGCTGGCCCTTCCCCTTGTTGAGTCCCTGCTCTGCGCCGAGCCCTGGGCCGCTCGCTGGGGGTCGCAGGGTGTCCTGGGCTCCCTGGGCCCAGCCCTCCCGCCAGGGTGCGGGGCAGGCAGACATTGAAGTGGCCATTCTCACGTGCCGGCTGGTGGCACGTGGACTTCTTTCTTCACTCCCATGGGTGTCTACATGAGAATTGAGAGGATAGAAAGATACGGGTTTGCTGAGTGCTCTTTGCTGATTGAATACACAATGATGATTGGTTTTTTGCACTTAGAAAAGTAATTCGTAGTTATGCTGTGAAAATTGCAAACAATGCTAAAAAACTACTTTTAAAACCCAGAATCCTGCCACTCAGGGGCCAGCTTTGCTGGTGTCCTTCTCAAGGCAAAACTTCCACACACGGTGTTGTGGGGACAGAGTCCTAGACAGAGCTTGGGCGGACCAACGCTTTGAAGAGCGATCTTTTCTTACTGGCCACTCACTCACAGCAGACCTCTAATCTGCTCCACGCCCGTTCCTTGCACAGATGTGCCTATGTGTATAAATTTTCTTACTAATCCTCTGCTGATGGATGTTAAACTAATCTCAGTGTTTTGCTGCCTCAATCAGCCAGATATTTTAATAGGTTTTATTATTATTGAGGATCAGGAGTGATTACTGTCAAAAAGATTTCTTGTTAATCACGGTGCCCCAGAGGAGGGGTCCCACCTGCTGTGGGGGCCACACCGGGAGGTCCCGGGCCAGTCTGGAGGCCCCGGGGAGGCGGAGCTGCGGGCCAGAGCCTGCGTTAGGGTTTCTGCAGGGAGCAGTGGGTGAGACAGGGTAAGCAGGCCTGGGATTGGCTGGTTGGAGTAATTGCGGAGGGTTCTGGGCACCTGGCTGTCTCAGGGCATCTGGATCCTGTGCCTGGCATGATGAAGGTGGGGCACAGTGCCCTGGAGCGTGAGAGCCTGATCAAGAAGGGGTTTTGTGGGGGGCTCTGGAGTGGTAGGTTTGCATTTGGAAGGCATGCCCATGGTGGACTTGGCTCACTCTGGAAGGGGCAGTCCCTCCTGGGTCCGCAAGGCCCCGGTTGTCCGAGTGTCAGAACGCAGGAGCAAAACGGTGGTGCATGTAGCAGGCAGCCTCTGTCCTCCCTTCACCTTCGTAGTCGGGCCCTGCCCTTCTCACCTGGCACCCTGTTTGGAGAAGAGTGTTCTCCTCTGCCCCTGCCCTCCGCCCCGGGGGGCCAGCGGGGGGCAGGCCCTGCGCCCTCTGCCTTAGCGGCTGCCCCTCCCACTCTCGGCAGGAAGCCTCCTTCGAGTACCTACAGAATGAGGGTGAGCGGCTGCTCCTAGAGGCCATGGACGAGCTGGAGGTGGCGTTCAACAACACCAGCGTGCGCACCGACTGCAACCACATCTTCCTCAACTTCGTGCCCACCGTCATCATGGACCCCTACAAGGTCTCGCCTTTGGGGGGCCCCCACCAGCCTCTGGCTCAACTTCCCGGGGACCCTTGCTCCCTCATGCCAGTGCTGCTTTGGGTATTGGCCCCTGGCACTTGAGACCCGAGGTACAGGATGTGCGCGTGCAAGTTTGAGCCTCAGGTGCTGCAGGTGGAAGACAAACCCTGCATTGCTTGGTTCTGGAGCCACCTCCCCGGGCACTGTCCCTTTCTACTGCTCCCCCTCTGTGAAGTGCTGCACCTTCAGAACACCATGGAGGCCCCAGATACCTTGCCATACAAAAGTTTGTCCTCTCCCTGGTTCCAGACTCCACTGGGGACTCCTTTGGCTGTGTCTTCAGGAGCAGGCAGGGTTTGTGGATGTGGTTTTGGGGTGAAAGGAGTCCTGGTACATCAGCTTGGCATTTGTGGGGTGCAGGGTGCCTCACTTCCACCAGCCCCCCATTTCCCAGAAGAGAAGAGGCAGAGGGCATGTCACTGAGGAGCACTAGGCGTTCATTGCCAGCCTCACTTTCCCCATCTAAACAGGCGATAAAAATGCCCTCCTCTCTGTGTAAGTTGTGAGGACAAAATGAGAAAACGGGCTTTAAATGAATAGCAAGGTGCCTGTGGTTATTATTAGCTATGAGTTGTTGGTTGCATACTGTGCCCCCGGCATTTTGCATTCAATATGTCAGCATTGCTGTGTTGTTGGTGCTAGAACTACTTTGAGTGTGTGCAGAATGGGCTCTGAAACCGGAATCGCTGTGACATGTGACAGATTGAGGAGTCGGTGCATTCCATGGTCATGCGCTACGGCAGCAGGTTGTGGAAGCTCCGTGTGCTGCAGGCTGAGGTCAAGATCAACATCCGCCAGACCACCACCGGCTGCGCCGTTCCCATCCGCCTGTTCATCACCAACGAGTCGGGCTACTACCTGGACATCAGCCTCTACAAAGAAGTCACCGACCCCAGATCGGGAAATGTAAGGCTGGGCCGGGTCATGGAGGTCCGAGTCGCAGCAGAGGCAGGCTCAGGCCAGGGAGATGTAGGCCAGATGGTATTTGGTGGCTTCATGCCTTCTGTGCTGATTGGAGCAGCCCCTCTGATCCCTGTGTTAGCCTCTGAACCCCAGTTGTTCACTCGCCTGGGAAGGAGAAGGGTTCCAGTGTGTCATCCATTCGAGGGCCGTGTTTGGGATGAGGTGTGGGGGGCTGTGGTCAGTTGTGACGCAGCTTCCCACTGGGTCCCTTAATGCAATAGGAATTAACCCCCAACTGTGTTTCAGAACAGACTTTTGTCAAGCGAATCAAGGATCATGTTGACTACCATTTGCATGCATGTATATATTTTTTATTTTGAAACACTCTCAAGAAGTTAAAAAAGTAATACAGAGAAATAAATGGTACAGAAAGTTCATGTGTACCCTTTACCCAACTTCCCAATAATGACACTGTACAGAACCGTAGGACCTGCCAAAATAGGACATGGACACAGGTTCAGTCCCGGTAACTCCAGTGCAGACTTGATTCGGTTTCATTGGTCTAGATGCACTGTTGTTTGGGGGTGGGGGGGGGCGGGGTACTGTAATAGTTATATTCTGGGGGCTGTCTTTCCACATCTCCCTCTGTCCCTCCTTGTTCTGGTTGCAGAAAAGAGATTCGCTCTTTTAGTCACTCACTTTGTCACACAGTGGGACATGTTTTGCGCCCTGCACTGCGTTTTCACCGAGGACCGGGTAGAAACGAACTCGGCAGGAATGGGGGTCTCTGAGAGGTGCCTCCTTTACCCTCTGGTTTTCTTTCCTTCTGCCAGATCATGTTTCACTCCTTTGGCAACAAACAAGGGCCCCAGCACGGGATGCTGATCAACACTCCCTACGTCACCAAGGACCTGCTTCAGGCCAAGCGATTCCAGGCCCAGTCCCTGGGGACCACCTATGTGTACGACTTCCCGGAGCTGTTCAGGCAGGCAAGTCCTGCGGCTGAGGCGCAGCACGGGCTCGGGTCTGCTTGGGAAGGAAAAGAAATTACGTTTGACCCCTGAACAGCATGGGGGCTAGGGGCACCAACCTCCCGTGCAGTCGAAAATCCGCACATGGTTTTTGATTCCCCCAAAACATAACCGATAATGACCTCCTGTTGAACAGAAGCCTTAGCAGTAACAGAGTCAATTAACATATTTTGTATGTTACAGAATTATATACTGTATTCTCATAATAAAGTAAGCTAAAGAAAATGTTACTAAAACAATCATAAGGAAGAGAAAACGCATTTATGGCATTTATTGAAAAAAAATCTGTGCACAGTGCATCTGTGCGGGTCGCACCCAAGTTCAAGGATCAACTGTAATATTTGCCATGACTTTCTGGCATTTTTCCCAAAGAGAAGCCCAGGTTCATCCCAATGGTAAAGGAATATAATACAGAAACTTCAGGATGTGATGTGGAAGAGAGAAGTGACTCACGCAGTTCATGTCCTAACATTTCGATGTGCTTCCGGTCTTTCTGCTGCTTTTTTAGTAAGTCCCTGCTTCTTGCCAGGCACCATTCTCAGGGTAGACGGACCTTGAGGAAGAGGATGGGGTCCTTGCTGTGAGGGGTTTATAGTCTGCTCTAAAGTAATGTTCTAAAAAAACACTAATGTTCTGTTATTTTTTCTGATTATTAAAGTCTACATTGGAAAACACAGAAAAATAAGAATAAGCAAATAAAACGTCACCTGTATGTGATCTCTCCACCGTTGATGACTGCAGTGACATTTCAGTGTGTTTCCTTCGAGTATTTTTTCCATGCCTCTGTTTTCTTTACATAGCAGGGCCTTTCGAGGCGACTGAACACACCGGCATGGTTGGTGTGGACGTTCATTATCCCCCCGCCCCACACTGCATTGTGAATGAAGTTCATGAAACCGGGGCACGGCCCTTCCACCATAGGCAGCAAAGCGTCCGCTCACTTCTGGCAGAGGAGATGCAGGGTAGTGGGAACAGCCACCGTGTAATGTCACTCGGGTCTGGACTTGAATCCTGCACCTGTCCTTTGCTCCCTGTGCGTCTCTGGGCGAGTTCCTTTACCTCTCTGGGCTTCACATTCCTGCTCTCTCACAAGTTGTTGTAAGAAATCTATATTGAGTATTTAGTAGATGCTTAATAAATGGAGACTTTTATGAGTAAGATTGTCATTGTCTGTATCCTTTTGCCTCTGACCTTGAGAGACACAGGATAAGAAACAGACAAATCAGGGACAAATCTATCCCCTTTCTTTTAGATGAGGAAACCAAATACTATAGAAAACCCATAAATTTGGAAACTTACATGAAATGAAAAATTTCCAAGAAATATATACCTTATCAAAACTGACTCAGGAAGAAATAGAAAATCTATTAAGCCCTGGCTGCTGTAGCTCAGTGGATTGAGCGCGGGCCTGTAAACCAAAGGGTCACTGGTTTGATTCCCAGTCAGGGCACATGCCTGGATTGCTGGCCAGGTCCCCAGTAGGGGGCACATGAGAGGCAACCACACATTGATGTTTCTCTTCCTCTTTTTTTTACCACCTTCTCTCTCTTAAAAGAAATAAAATCTTTAAAAGAAAAGAAATTGAATTAATAGTTTTAAAAGAATCTATTCACTCAAATTGTGCCCAGATGGTTTTGTAACAATTTTTATCAAACCTTAAAATAATAGATAATTCTCTTTGTATACAAATTGTTTAGAGAGCAGGAAAAAGAAAAGAGAATGCTTCTTAATTCATTTTATCAGGTTATTATTACCTTAGTATTAATCCCAGATAAGAAGAATATTAGAAGTAGGGAAATTTGCTGTCTCATTTATGAACATAGACATAAAATTAATAAGTAGAATATTAGCAAATAAAATCCAGTAATTCTTTTTAAAAAAATTTAGACCAAGTAGGGTTTCTCTTTTTTATTTATTGATTGATTTTTAGAAAGAAAAGAAGGAAGAGAGATAAATATTGATTTGTTGTTCCACTTATTTATGTATTTACTAATACGTATAAAAAAAGTATTTGACAACATCTGTTCATAATAAAAACTTTGAATAAACTAGGAATAGAAGAGAATTTATCTTGATAAATGGTATCAACCTAAAATTAATAAAACCTAATGGTAAAATACTAGAGGGATTCTTTTTAAAGACAGGTATAAGACAGAATTAGCCATTATCACCAGTTCTACTTGACATTTTTTCTGGAGGTCCTGGCCAATGTAATAAGACAAGAAAAAGACACAAAAGGTATAAAAACTGGAAAGAAAAAAGCAAAATGGTGGGGTTTTTTGCAGATTATATTAATGTCTATGTAAGAAATCCAAGAGAATCTGTAGAAGTAGATAACAAAGGAAGATGCTAAATGCAAGATCAATATACAGAACTTAATTGCATTCTCATAGATCAGCAGTAATTATAAAATTAGGAAAAAAATTGCACTTACAATATTAAGATCAACTATAGGGTTACCTAGGGATAAATCAAATAAAAAGCATATAAGACCTTTATGGAAGAAATCTTAAAACATTACTGAAATAACTTCAAGTCTAAATAAATGGAGACATATATTAGGTTCACCAAGTGATGAAAAGATTCAATATTGTAATGTTTTAGTTCTGTTAAAATTAATGCATTCAGTGTAATTACATAGTTTTGGGGTAAAACCTAAAAATTCATATAGAAAAGCAAAAACCCATGAAAAGCAAAAACAATTTTGAAAAAGGACAAAGGTCAAGAGGACTCGTCGTAGCAGGTGCCAGCCCTTATTTTCAAGCCCCAGTACTTAGTGCAGTGCAGTGTGACTGTCACAGAGTGAGACAGAACAGCGGGACAGAAAAGAGCCTAGAACCAGACCCACTCCCAGACGGAACCTTCTAGAATGCCCAGGAGGCATCGCAAATCCAGGAAATAAACACTAGAAGGTACAAGAAAACTGCTTATCTAACTGAAAATACAATTTTTGATTTCTACCTCACTTATTACAGTTTACAAAAAAATTTCAATACCATTAAAGCCAGTTGGAGTCAGTTAAAAGCATACAGCAATGAGCAAAAGACCTGTAAATTTGACTACTTTAAAATTTAAGTTCTTTTTTTTAAAATTTAAGTGTTTTATGCAAAAGAGAAAAGAGGGCCTAAATTGGGAGAACATGTTTCAATGCTTATTGCCAGCAAAGGAGTAGATCTAAATTATTTACAGAGCATTTATAAGTCGATTAGAAAAAATAAAAGGCAAACTTATTGAAAAATCTAGGCAGGAATGAATAGGAAATTGGCCAAAAAGAAACTCACCTGGTCAATAAGCATATTCGAAGGCCCTCAGCTGACTAATAATCAGTGAAATATGGATCAATACCAAAAAATTTCATACCCAGCCGACAGGCGTTAAAATATTTGGCAAACCAAGTATTGGTAAGTGTGTGGGGCAAAGGAGTTCCTACTTCTTACGCAGTCTTACCAGGACTGTGACGGGTCTCAGAAGATTTGAGAGCATTTTGGTAATGTCAAGTAAAGTTGGAATTTCACAAACCCTGTGGCCATTTCTTGGTATGTACCTGGTGAAATTCACCTCTGTTTGTAAGAAGAGACCATAAAAATGTTCATTCCAACATTATTGGTAATCCTGTAGCATTGGAAGCATCAGAAATGTTCCTAAAAAGAGTTCTGAATATGTAAATTGTGGTATATTCACTCCATGGGAATCTGAATAGCAGGAAAAATGAATAAACCAGAGTTGAACTTATCAATCTGGATACTTCTCCCAAACACATCAGGGAGTTGAAAAAGGGTATGTCCAGGGCAATATCATTTATTTAAAGATGAAGTCATGCATAAGAATACTACATGTTTTAAATGTATGGAGACATGCTGAAGTGAAAACACAGAAGCCTGCAGGGGATTGGTAGACACGCGATTCAGGGTAACGGTTACCCCGGGTAGATGGGCAGAGGAGGGTCAGGGAGGGGATGAGGGGGCACACCAGGGGCTCCAATCACATTTTTTTTTATATTGAGCAACTAAGGAGAAACTATGATGACAAAACGACACGATTCGGACACTGGGGAATTTTTCTATTCTGCGTGTTTTTCTGTGTGCTTTAGGTAGTCCATGGGTGAAACAAGAAAAAGCACTAGAAAACCTGCCTCTCCACTGATGACCTTCAGGTTTTTTCCTCCCCTCTCTCCAGGCTCTCTTTAAAATGTGGGGCTCCCCAGACAAGTACCCCAAAGACATCCTGACGTACACGGAGCTTGTGCTGGACCCCCAGGGCCAGCTGGTGGAGATGAACCGACTTCCCGGCGGAAATGAGGTGAGGTCTCGGAGAGCCCAGGCCCTGGCTGGCATGGCCCTTCCCAAAAATGTCCCCCCGGGGTCACAAACCCGTTTTTCCTTGTGTGTCCGTGTTGTCACCAGGTGGGCATGGTGGCCTTCAAGATGAGGTTCAAGACCCAGGAGTATCCAGAAGGGCGGGACGTGATCGTCATCAGCAATGACATCACCTTCCGCATTGGATCCTTTGGCATGGGCGAAGACTTACTGTACCTGAGGGCATCCGAGATGGCCCGGGCCGAGGGCATCCCCAAAATCTACCTCGCAGCCAACAGCGGGGCCCGGATCGGCCTCGCGGAGGAGATTAAACACATGTTCCAGGTGGCTTGGGTGGACCCAGGAGACCCCCACAAAGTATGTCGGGAAGCCGCACATTGTGTTTTCGGGGGGGTGGGTGGTAATAGTATCCACAAGGGGGTAGAAAAAGTCTTATCACTCTTTTTCTATGTAAAGCACAGATGCCCATACGTAAACAGGCGTACGGTATCTTGGTATCAAAGTTTCATGGGAGTAGGAGAACATGTCTAAACAGTCATGAAAGTTTACGAACACTGCGCTAATTTATACGTATAAACAGATGTATATCTTCTGAATGCAGAGGTGAAAAAATACATAGTCCCTGGCCTCATAGATTTCTTAAATATTGTCTGGGAGAGGCAGAGACAATACCAGCTGCAGTAAAAGGCAGAATGAATGAGAGAAAAGTGTACATTTTGTAACGTGAAAATGCAGGGGACAGTCGTACTTTGCGACCATAGTGTGCATTCCCAAGGGGGCAGTAGTGCCCCCCAACAGAAGTGGACAAAAATGTGAGTGACGCCCCTCCCTCCAAGCACACACAGGGATAGAGGTCTGTCCAGAAAGTATCCAGCCACACACTATGAAAAATGGAGAAATTTACTGAAGAAGATACAAGAAATATTGTACGTAGAATAATGACACCTCAGTCCCCTTTGAAGTAGGCATCTTGGGACCTCACACAGTTCTCCCAGTCGCCATCAGCTGCCCTGCTGTATTTTCCTGAATTTTATCAATGGTCTAGAATCTCTTCCATTTCAAAGGTGATTTTAGTTTGGGGGAAAAAGCCAAAAGTCGCAGGTGCCAAATCTGGGTTGTAGGGGAGCCGAGTCACCTGGGTGATTTGGTGTTTCACCAAAAAACTGCACGAGACGTGATGCATGAGCAGGTGCGTTGTGGTGATGAACCTGCCAGTCACCAGTTGCCCATGGCTGCAGCCTTCTGAGTCATCTGAATAGTTTCCACGGAGGAATGTGCAAGCTTAGAGCAAAATTTGATGCAGATTCGTTGCTCTTCTGGCCCAGTCATTTTGAATGCGATGTCCACACGGTACACACGCTCAAAGGCATCCGCTACCCCCACTGACTAGTACAGTGAAGTCGTCATTGTTCACGCATATGCATCCCAGGCTCTCCTCGGCTGGCAGGTTACATGGATGCCGCACAAACCCTTCTCGTTATGTTAATGATGGCTGGACTTTTCCTGGACAGACATACACACTGTAATGAAATTGGGGAGGGGGCTGGGAATACGGAAAAAGTCTGGAAAGTCTCCCTAGGGGGCGACAGAGAAGGTGATTGAGAAATAGAACCCGACAAGGAAGCAGTAGGGTCGTGTTGTACGGGTGCGTGGAGGCACGTAGCAGGTCTTCAGTGCACAGCTGTTGTGAGCACAGTGTTAATGTCGGACACGCTAACATGTTGGTAACATGTTACCAACATCCTCCCTACAGTTTTGGTATTGTTTTAAAAACAGTGGCTGCTGCCGGCAGGAAACTGGGTTCATAGCTTCACTGGAGTTTTTTGTTTCATTTTGTTTTAAGGGATTTAAATACCTGTACTTGACCCCTCAAGAGTACACCAGAATCAGCTCCCTGAACTCTGTCCATTGCAAACACATCGAGGAAGAAGGAGAATCCAGGTAAGTGACTTAGCAGGCAACTCCCTCCTTGTGCCTGGGATCATTTCAGCGGCTGCTGGGGAGTCTGCCCTTTGCCTCCTGGCTTGCGGTGGTCGAGCGGTTGGTGTGTGTACAGTGGGACCCTTGAGCTTCCGTGCTAGTGACTTAAATACCTGCAGTGTTCTGTAAGGTGCACCGTCCTTGTCATCCCCAAGTAAGCCGTGTCTCTCACTCAAATGGCACAGAACACAGGGAGAATTAGATCAAATTCCCACAATGTCCCCAGCACTGCAGGCTCCCATTTTATGAACAAATTAGCCAAACGGATGCTGCAGTGTCATCTGGGAAGTTGGCAAGGACAGGGCTCAGCTCCACAGGCACATCAAGGCTACCGGCTATCTTTTCCCGGGACAGTTGTGGGGACTTTTCCAGGGAAGGCGACTAAGTCAGAAGTTCCAGGCTGTGTTTTCTGGAATGTTGCTTGGAAATTTTTCCTCCTTCTCACGTGTTCCCAAGGAAATTTTTCCTCCTTCTCACGTGTTCCCATCGCCAGGGCAAGTTGGGAGATACTGGGTCGAAGGAGAGCTAATGAGTATCTTCACCAAAGGCCTCCTCCGAACCGCTAATGAGCTGAAGTGCCAGTGACTCTCAGTGGGGTTGGGACACCCAATGTCTCTCGCACTTCGGTGGCTGTGGAGTCCTGGCTGATTGACTGTGAGCCAAGTGACTTCCCACGCATGGCCGCATCTCCCTGGAGACCAGATGGTATCCTCGATTACTTTAGGAAGAATGCACAGTGTAGGTGACATTTCGGTAACACAGCCTGCGAACCGTCTTCTAGAAACTTGGGAGCCAGTCACTTCACTTCCAGCTCCTTCATCAGCACCTCCCAGGCCCTCCCCTCGCTTGTCCCTCCTGCCTCTCGTGTCCTTGGGAATCGCATGGACTAGATCTTGGCCTCTGACTCGTGTTTGGTACTTACAGGTACATGATCACGGATATCATTGGGAAGGAGGACGGCCTGGGCGTGGAGAACCTTCGGGGCTCCGGCACAATCGCCGGGGAGTCCTCCCTGGCCTACGAAGAGATCGTCACCATTAGCCTGGTGAGTCCCCGCTCACTCTATTTTCTTTTATGTCTCAGCTTTCCATTATGGAAACTTGGAAAGAGCCGCCAGAGGAAAGAGGAGTGATAATGAGCCCACTCGCGCCTTCCATGGCTCCCACAGTTTAGCTGTTCCTGCCCCCTCAAACCCTCCACCCCTGCCCGATACGGCATGTTTCAGAGCAGGGGTGTCCAGCCTTTTGGCATCTCTGCACCGCCCTGAGAAGAAGAGTTGTCTTGGGCCACACATTAAATATACTGCGACACGTACTCCCCAAAACATCTCGTGATGTTTTAAGTAAATTGATGATTTTGTGTCGGGCCAGACTCACACCTGCCCTGGGCTGCGTGTGGCCTGCGGGGCACGGGTTGGACACCTCCTGAGCAAACTCTGTCTCGTGTCTTTCCATCGGTGAATTTGAAATTGGATCTTTACTAGATAAAGATTTACCCCCTAATATACTATTATTCTGTCCAACAATATCCACAACGCTTCTTTAATATCATCAGAAGCCAGTTGAGTTCAGTTTTAACAAGTTACCTCAAAAATGTCCTTTAATAGTCAGTTTGTTTGAATCAGGGTCCAATCTCCTCCTGTTTAAAAGGTATTAAGTATTTAGGAGAACATTTATTGGATTTTAACTGGATGATCTCTCCCCCCTTCCTTGGCCTTTCCAGCCGTGTTTTCTGGTTTCAGGAGCAGGAGGGGCAGTAGTGACCTTCAGTGGCAAATTGGTCCCCTGGCCCTTACATCACACTCAGTGTGGGGTCTTTCATTTCCAAGGTGGGAAATGCTGGCCCCAAGTGTCTTCCTCGGCTTCTGTTCTAGATGTTACCTACATGCTGCATGCGTTTCATACATACTTCAAAGTAAAAAGATAGTTGTATATAAAAAGATATATAGTCCAAAAATGTATTTATCTTGAAATATGTTAGAAGATATGTAACATATATTCTGAAAGATACACATCATATATCCTATGTATTACATAACTTAACATATTACATGTATTTTATGTATATATTACATATGTCTTTTATAGAAACCACAGTTGACTCTTGAACCAACATGGCTTTGAACTGTATGGAGGTACTTACGTACTCGGATTTTTTACACAAACATTGTAACTGTGTTTTCTCTGCCTTACAGTCTTCTTAATAGCATTTTCCTTTCTCTTACATTAGTGTAAGAATATAGTGTATAATGCATATATATATAACATAAAACTACATGGTAATCAACTGTTTATGTTATTGGTAAGGCTTCCAGTCCATAGAGGGGTATTAGTAGTTGTTTGGGGGAGTCGAAGGTATTTGCAGATTTTTTGACCCGGCGGGTGGGCAGCTCCCCTAACTCCTGTGTTGCTCAGGGGTCAGCTGTGTGTGTGTGTTCATTTACTGAGAAATAGTTTGGGACTCACCAGAAGTTACAACATAGGATAAGAGGCCTGGCGAACTTCCCACCCAGCATCCCCCATGACAGAGCTCTCATACCCAGCACGTTGTCACCACCGGGTCATTGGCGCTGCCACTGTCCTCTGAACCGGGTGCCGCCCTCACTTGGGTCTCCCTGGTTTCACACGCACTCTCGGCCATCCTTTCAGTTGTGTGAGCAGCTGCGACAGCTCGTGAATGACCCAGCTCGGGAGAGCTCCCCACGTGCCTCTTGAAGAAGAGCCAGAACATTCTGTGTCTGCTGTCTGGCTTCTAGAACACTCTCCTCGGTTAACCGTGTTCTTCCTGGGCAGGAAGCCAAAGTCAGGCGAACCTGAAGGGCAGGCTTGGCCTCTGCTCTTTGGCCCTGATCAGGTTACCAGTGGCCAAGCTGTGGCTTCCATCTGTGTCCCTCATGGTCCTGCTGTGAGGGAGGGCACATCACCCTCAGGAATTCAGCAGGGATCCTGTCCCCGCAGGTGACCTGCCGAGCCCTTGGGATTGGCGCCTACCTGGTGAGGCTGGGCCAGCGCGTGATCCAGGTGGAGAACTCCCACATCATTCTGACGGGGGCCAGCGCGCTGAACAAGGTGCCGGGGAAGGGGCCTGGGGTCATCTAACAGTCCCCTTGTCCCCTGAGGGGTTTTCCCAATACAACGCCTGTATCACTGTTTCTACAAATACAAGAGCTGTTTTTCCAGTTTGCTGATATCTCGGCCTCTTAGGACTCTCCCCGACGAAAGGGTTAGGTTCTGTATTACCGACATTTAAATTTCTAAAAATCATTTAATTTAAAGACTATTAAAATTTCTAACATAGCACTACACATTGCAGACAATTGGGAGAAGACCCCAGAAACAAACTGGGGCGCATTTCCCTCTCATTATCATGTGGTCAGAATCTCAGTGAATGTGCCGGCCGGTATTCTACTTTTCCACTCTGGGAAAACATTTCTGCATGGCTATAAAGCTACCATATTTGAGGTCTGCCAAAATCCCACCGAGGGTCTCAAAGTCCGGCCCCAGCCCCAGCAGCATCCACACCTGCCGGGATCTGGTTAGAAATGCAGATCCTTAGGCCCCGCCCCAGACCCGCTGAGGCAGAAACACGGGGAAGGGTTCACTTTTGAGATGACCAGAGTAACCCCAGGTAATCCTTATCAAGGTGATCAAAGTAGACACTGCTTCTCAAATTGGGCTGCATGTTAGAATTATCTAGAAGTTTAAAAAAAAGCCCCAAAACCCAAAGATTCTAGTAGAGCTGGTCTGGATGCAGCCTGGGCATCTGGATTTTCAAAAGCTCCCTGGGGATTTTGATGTGCAGCCAGGGTTGAGGACCACCCGAGGGACGTGACTTCCAAACAGGAGGGAGGGCCCCGGGCTGGGCAGGCCCTCGCTAACCGTGCCGTGGCTGAGCAGGTGCTGGGCAGAGAGGTTTACACGTCCAACAGCCAGCTGGGCGGCGTGCAGATCATGCACAACAACGGCATCTCCCACGTCACCGTGCCGGACGACTTCGAGGGCGTTTACACCGTCCTAGAGTGGCTGTCCTATATGCCAAAGGTACAGTCTGCCGCCCGCTGCAGCTGGGTCCGGGACTTTCTGCTGCTCGGTTCATCTGCCCAGTGGTGCAGGGGTGCGGGGAGTGGGGAGCCCTGCTGAGTGGCTGGGTGAATGTTTCTTTAGTCCTTCCTCCTTCCCTCTCTGGCACCCAGCCCTGTACTGGTCGTCCTTGGCTTTTTAAAAAACAGCCGAGGATGGCATTGCCTCGCCACCAAAGAGGTAACATTGGGCCATAGAGAATCCTCAGATGACAGTCAGGCAGGACTGGATTCCTGGCTTCCTCCTCAGTAGAGCCAGACCCAAGGACAGCTGAGTCTCAGTTTGCTCATCTGTGAAATGGGAGTGACAGTAGCTTCCCCCGCAGAGTGTCACCCTGATGACTCAGTGATGCAGTGTTCGGAGTCCGGTGAGTTGTAGGCCCTCACCTGATGCTGTGCAGAGCTGTAATGATTAGTGCGTGGGGCTTGGGCCTGGGCTGCCCAGCAAGGCGTCACCATCGTCATGAGATAGGAGTGCAAACAGCAGGTCGTGGGTATTGTTGGCAAGCACAGGGACAGAATTGGAGGCCTTGCTTTCTTTCCTAGGATAATCACAGCCCGGTCCCCATCATCACACCCACGGACCCCATTGACAGAGAAATTGAGTTTTTCCCCTCGAGAGCCCCGTACGACCCCCGGTGGATGCTTGCAGGAAGGCCTCACCCAAGTAAGTCCTCCAGCATTTGCCTGAAACCCGGGCCTCGGGTTTTCTTTCTGGGCTGAGATGCAGGAGCCTGAGTTGGAGCATGGGTGTGGCGGGGAGGGCCGGGGTGGATGCACCTGAGGTCAGATGCGGAAAGTGGAGGAGCTGAGACTTCGCTCTCTGCTTTTCCCTGAGTTACTGACTCGAGGAGGGGTGGCTGGAGAGGAGGGCAGCAGAGGTCATGACCTCATTCCCCAAACTGCCCCGTGGTTCTATAAGTGGAAAACCCAAGGCTGATGCATCCAAATTTCAATGACTGCTTCTCTCTCTGCTTTCCTCCCTCCCTCCCTCTCTCCCTTTATTTGGTTAAACCTTCCTAAGGGAGCTCTTCTTGAGTTTACCCAGCATAGGCAGCTTAACCTCTTCTACACACACACACACACACACACACGCAGATACTTGTGTGCACACATGCACACGTGTACACACATGCACTCAGGGACACAGTCTGTCCTTGTCCAGAAGCAGTGTGTTGTCCCCTGGAGGTATGTGATCACCGTCCGGGCACCCAGACAGCAGGAAAGCCGAGCTCCCCTGTCACCGCCGTCCGGAGTCTAGAGTTTCACAGGCGGCCTCCTTCAGACAGCTCCCGCTCATCCCGCAGCCGGTGCAGCCGGTGCCCCCACCCGGAGTCCTGCGGCTCGCTCCCCTCTTCTGTGTCTCTTGGCCTTTCTCGCCTGTGAGCGTGGAGGGGGCTGGCAGTATTCCGATTTAGAAGACGTCTGACTTCTTACGACGGTTTTCTCTGTAGTTAGGCCAGTCCTCAGGCCGACGCTGAAGTTGGGCCGCTCCGTTCCCAGGTGCCCAGCCCCCCACAGCTGCAACCTGAGCCCCGTCCTGCTGCCTGGTTGTTCTTATCCAACCTGTAGCCGCTTACACTGCGTACACCTCGGGGTGGGTTTAAGTCACTGCTTCCTCTGATGGGGCGGCTGACATCACATCCCCTCTCTCACTCTCTTGCTCTCTCTTGCTCTCTCCCTGGAACATGGTGCACATTATTCTCTGTTAAATAGGAAGGGAAAAAGTTATTAAGCGACAGCCAGCAGGTCAGGGGTCAGGGATGAGTGTTTCGGAGCTGGCAGCCCCTTTATGAAACCTCACCCTCTGAAGGCGTCCATCAGCTCTTTGCCACTTGGGAAGAAAAGGCAGAGGTTCTGATTGGGGTCCCCATGTGTTTGGCATTGGTGGGAACTGATGTGGTTGGAGACTCTGATCTGTGCACTGATCTGTGTGGACTAATCTATATGTTCCCGACTTGGTGTATTTTTTGCAGTTCTGTTGTTTTGTTTGTTTGTTGTTTTTGCAAGGGGTTGGGGTCTGTGTGATTTTCCGGGGAAGAGGGGTGTTTGAGCTACCAGGTCAAGGTCAGGCTGTCCTTAGAGACACAGCGGAGCACTCTGCCCTCCCAAGGGTCCTCACCAGCCCGGCCCCTCAGCCCTGGCTTCTCTGCCTTCTGCCCACAGCTCTGAAGGGATCCTGGCAGAGTGGGTTCTTCGACCAGGGCAGCTTCAAGGAAATCCTGGCACCCTGGGCCCAGACCGTGGTGACGGGACGTGCAAGGTAACCCTGAGGACGGAGTGGGCTGCCCGCACCTGGCCTTACTGGGCACTGGGACAGGTGGCCCGCCAGGGGCACTTTCTTCGTGAGCCCAGGATTTTCCAAAAGTAAGACTAACTGGGGAAATGGTTTTCTGAATGATGAACTTCTTCATAAAGTCCCCATTTGTCTGTGGCCTTAAGAGGCATCTCAGCCACCTTCTTGCTGGGGGCTAGGACCCCGGGGCCTCAGCGCCCACCCCAGGACAGGGCCCTCTAGCCACGGGGCCACAGACCTCTTTGGGGATCAGAAGGTGGTCCTGAGTGCTCTGGCTGGAAAACTACAGACACTTAAAACTGAATTCCACTTCACGAGGGCCACAGGCAGGGAATCCCTGTCACACACCACAGCTGGCGAAAGGCTTAACTGCTTGAATGCTTACAGAGCTGAGCAGCTCACTCCTCAGCCATGTGCATAGCCACCTTCTTAGGTCACTCCAGTGGCCCCAAAGCTCCTCCTCTGATGGAGCCCGAAGCAGCACCCTCATAACCTGCCGCTCAGATTCCAGGCACAGTGTAGCTGCTCCGAGTCCAGGCTCTGTCTCTCACCCTCTCTGGCCTTTCACATCCTCATCTGTGAAATGGGGACGGCATTTCTACCCCCAGAAGACTGTTACAATGATGAGAAGTAATAACGTACGTTAAGCACCTGAAATGACTAGAAATGCTCCATGCGTGGTAGCGGCTGCTGTTATTCATGATTATCGTTATTGATACCTCCCAACATAAGCACGAAACTACTAAGTCTCATATTGGCGCTCGTGCTTCTCCATAACTGTTTCATTGTAAAAACATCTTTTAAAACCTGAGGGGAACTCTCCTTTGTCCTCGTGGAAGCCCTTCCGTTATTTGAAGACCGCTGTCCCCTCCCCTGTCTCAGGAGTTGTTGGGTGACAAAATAGAGTCACCTGGTGACACATGCAGCGCGGAGTGGCCAGGCTCTGGTGGTGACAGTTTCTGACGTCGTGGCATCCCCATGAATCAAAGCTGCTCCAGGCTCAGTGTCACTCAGCCCTCGCCACACGCACGTGCGAGTCTAGACCTGCGCTGTCCAGCGTGGTCGCGGCTGGCCGCATGTGACAGTTCAGATTTAAATAATTAAAAGGGAAGAGGATGACGAGTGAGCTCCTTGGTTGTACTCGCCACATTTTAAGCGCTCAGTGGCCACATACCTGTCTGTTGGACAGACTGCACAGGTGGAGAACGTGGCCATTATCACGTAAAGTTCCAGCAGACAGCGCTGCTTCAGATGGGCACGGGCCTGCCCCTCCCGTCCCGTGATGGCTGTGGCCCCAGTAAGGTCACCGGCAGGACCTTCCCAGCTTATGGGGCTCTTATTGCTTCGGGCAGCAATAACCTGCCAGGGCCCTGGCTGGGTGGCTCAGGCGGCTGGAGCATCGTCCCATATACCAAAAGGTTGCGGGTTTGACCCCTGATTCGGACGCATATGGGAGGCAACTGACTGATGTTTCTCTCCCCTGCCCTTTTCTCTAAAATCAATAGACATATCCTCGAGTGAAGATTAAAAGTAAATAAAATAACCTGCCAGGGACAACAGCACTGTCCCTGAGTACCATCCGGCCGTTACTGTCCACTTCCGGAACACCCATGGAATGGGCCTGGGCGGGCCCCCTTGCCCCCTAACCTGCCTGTGGGTGCTGTCCAGGCCCCGGCTCACCTGTGCTCCGCCTTGCAGGCTGGGGGGCATCCCTGTTGGAGTGATCGCCGTGGAGACGCGGACAGTGGAGGTAGCGGTGCCCGCAGACCCTGCCAACCTGGATTCCGAGGCAAAGGTGAGGGGACTGGGGAGCTGGGGCTGCTGTTTCAGCCGGCTTGGTCACAGGCAGGCCGAGTACCTGCCTCGCCGGCTCGGAAACTCGCAGGAGACGTGGCCCAGGGATCTCGGGGCCATTTTTCCTGCGCTCTCCCTGTGGGGTCCGTCATGTCCCACACCAGCTCCCTTCTCCCTCAGAGGATGCCAGAAGGTCCCTGTGAATCCCTCCCTACTCTCGCCCCATCCCTGTTGATGATTCTAGACTGGGCCTCTGCGAGGAGCTCAGAGGCCACAGGGCGGGTCCTGGGATCCTGTTTTGTGGCCTTGACTGGCTCAGGCCGCCTCTGAGCCTGTGAATGGGCAACAGCAACCTTTCTGGGCTCCCAGGTGAGGGTCCAGTGGGGCTCTAGAGACCAGTTTAGGGTCCCCCTATGAGCCCTAGCCCTGGTGTTGGCACCAGCACTGGCCGGGTTGCCCGCCCGTCACGTGCCCCCAAGGTCACTCCAGCACAGGGGAGTCTCATCCAGCCGGCTCTGCCTTCCAGATCATCCAGCAGGCAGGCCAGGTGTGGTTCCCGGACTCGGCCTACAAGACAGCCCAGGTCATCAGGGACTTCAACCAGGAGAAGCTGCCCCTGATGATCTTTGCCAACTGGAGGGGCTTCTCCGGCGGCATGAAAGGCAAGGTGGCCTCCCCGGTGTGTGGTCCCCTGCAACCGTGAGGGCGGGAGCAGGCCAGGCAGTAGCCCCTTTCACAGATGGAAATCCGAGGGTTCCCGGTGTGAGTTACCAGAGGTCACGCTGTGAGTGGCAGGGCGGGGCAGCCCCAGAGCTGCCAGGGGACCGGGCGCTCACGCCCGCACTTGGGCAGATGAGAGGGTGAAGGGCCACCATGAGCCCTAGTGACCTGGCAGCTGGACGAGCGCTTTTTAGGCCCCAAGTGTGTTTCGAGCCACTGTGGCTGTCAGTGGGGAGCCGTCAGCCCGGCCGGCCTGGTGTGAATCCTTGCTAGCTGGGTGCCCTCTCCGAGCCTCAGTTTCCCTCCTCTGTGAAGGGGGATGAGAATAGGGCCGGCCTCAGAGAGGGCCAAGGTAAGGACTCGCTGAGCCGATCTCTGGCACATGGCGGTATTTCTCAGTGTGGTTACGGTTGATTTTATTATTGCATCATTGTTTCCATGCAGGGGGCTTGGCACTTGGAGGACATGCCTTGGTGTCCCCTGGAAAATGAGGGCTGTGCCACTTAGGGGCAGGAGGGAAGGGACCGCATGATTCTGTGTGCTAGAAATGATGGGAGAGTGCAGAGCTGAAAGGAGACTTAGAGTTCAGCCACTCTCCACGTTTCCCTTTACGGGTGGGGACATGGAGGCCCAGGCAGGGACAGTGACTTTCCCAAGTTCGCACAGACATGCAGCTCCCTATTATGAAACAGACAGTAGAGCTGCCGGTGTCCGGTCCAGCTCCTGACTCTCGGCCCAGTGCCCTTTCCATGGTGCCATGAAGCCTCCCAGCTGAACACGCCTCCCCAGGCACCCCAGGACAGCAGAGGCTTTGCCTGGGGACGAGCACTGGGGCCTGAGGTCGCCTCACCAGGCGGCTGCTTCACTTTGCTTTTCAGACATGTACGATCAGGTGGTGAAGTTCGGAGCCTACATCGTGGACGGCCTCAGGCAGTACAGGCAGCCCATCCTCATCTACATCCCACCCTATGCGGAGCTCCGGGGAGGCTCCTGGGTGGTCCTGGACTCCACCATCAACCCTCTGTGCATAGAGATGTATGCGGACAAAGAGAGCAGGTGGGTGTGTCGCCCTCGGCCTGGCTCAGCCTTTTCTTGTGCTCACAGCCAGTCTTGAGGCCACTGGCCGGGGATCACGAGGGTGTTCTGAGTTTCCAAAGGATGGAGCGCTTCCAGTTTTACCCAAAACTAACCCAGTGTCCAGTTGGACTCAGTAGAACAAGTGGCTGAAGCACAGAGGCGGTGGAGCAGTTGTCTTTTCTATCATAACTTATACTCATCTGCTCCCCAAGGAAGTTGGCAATCAAATATGGAACGATGAAAAGCACCTGAGCTTCCTGGCAGCCGGGATGAAAAGGGAAATATGACCAGCCATCTATTTTTCACTAAACTCCGAGTCTCTCCCAGAGCGATGAGTTTCTTGGGAGCTGTATTTTATCCAATTTTATAACCCAGGGCCAATTTTATAACCCAGTAACTCCCAGTGGGTGGTCAAGAAATACCACCCGGACAAATGACTGAATGAATACTCGTGTTAGAGGATACCAGCTCTTCAGGGGAGAGGACCATCCAGTTCTTAGAGAAAGGATGATGGCGGTAATACTTGCAACACAGTCTCTGAGTGCCTTCAAAGTGACAACTCACTGCTACATGCCATGCGGGATATAAAGAGTAGTTCTGCCCAAAATACAGGCATCGTATTCTTGTGTTCACTCCTTTATCCATTCATTAATCCAGTGAATGTTTATTGAGTACCTACTGTCTACCAGGCAATGCTAGGCATTTTGATACGGTACACATGAGCTAAACCTGTCCTGCCTTCAGTGTACCTGGACAGCAGCCCCTTTAACTTTTCACTCCGGCTGCCAGGAAGCTCAGAGGTACATAAACTATCCCTCAGGACTTCCAAGCTATCAGAAGAGAAGATGGCAGGAGGAGAATAAGGGGTGAGTGTGAGACGGTTGGAAATGGGAGGGCAGCTCACATGGGACAGTGTTGGACTCCTCATCATGCACGTGTGAGTTTCGAGACCAGAAACGTCCCACTGGCTCTAGGAGAGGGACATTAGGAAGGTCAGAAAGGACTGTGGCTGCGGAGCAGGAAGGTTGTGCTGTTCTGGAGAAAGTCAGTCTTAGAACTGAAAGGGCCTTCCAGAGTTCAGAAAATTTTGTTTTAAAAAGTAGACTCAATTCCTCATGTTATGGATGCAGAAGCAGATGAGAGAGGGAACATGAGTTGCCCAAGGTCATACGGTGAGTCCGTGAAAGAGCTAAGAACAGACACCCAGACTTCCTGGTCCTCTTGCTTCAGCCCCATGTCCCTGGCTGTCTGTCACTTATTGGGGGACCCCCTCACACACCTCACCCCTGCCTCTTTTTTTTCTTCAGGGGGGGTGTCCTGGAGCCGGAGGGAACAGTGGAGATTAAGTTCCGAAAGAAAGACCTGGTAAAGGCCATGAGAAGGATCGACAGCACTTACAAGAAGCTCGTGGAGCAGTTTGGTGAGAGGGTCCAAAATGCACCACCTCTCAGGGGCCCCTCCGTTGTTGGGGGCTTCTAGTCCGTTAAGAGTAAAGTGAAGACACAGGAAAACACAGCTACAGACATGCGAGGGATTCTAAATGCCCACACACAGCAAGTGAACCCCTTTAACATTAAAACACGTGCACAGTGCCTTCGTGAATTTCTCATCGAACACAAAATATGACCATTGAAGTATTTTGGACCAATGAGGAACATCAGAATTTTGGCACCAAAATGTTCTCTTAGAATTTCCAATTAGACAAAGTATTCATCCTTTACCAGTTTTGTTCGAGTGATAGCTTTCTGTCACGCGTAGCGTCAGGTGTAACTCTCTTTACAAGTCCATATTAGGTGACAGTGTCTTTGTAACTGTGCTGTTCCCAAGATTTGTGTGTGTGTGAGATTTCTTTGGTGTGTTATCATGGTAATGCTGATCTGCTGGAATGAGGGGAAATGTTCCCTCTTATTTTCTGAGTTTGAATTGGCATTCTCTCTCTAACTCTTTGGTAGGAGGCCTCTACCTAAAAATTTATCTTCCTTATGTATAGGACTATTGGCATTATCTGTTTCCTCTTGGGTGAGCTTTGATAGTTTGTATAGTTCAAGGAATTTGTCTACTGCATCAAAGTTGTCAAATTGGCCTAGAGTTACTTATAATAGTCTCTTCTTATACCTAGTTTGTAATATGTACTAAAATAGTAGCTGCTGGTATCCTGCCAAGTGGGTCTGATGAAAGGGGGCAGTGTTATTAAAGTTGCAAGTTGAATGCCATCTGGCACTGTGGGTGTGTTTCTGACACTGCGTGAGCAGCTTCATTTGGGGGTGCCATCAGAGTGAAGGCTCGGGCTGCCCTGCATGCGGCAGGCCTGTCCTGCAAACTCTGGTTTCTGCCCTGGCCTGCAGGAAAGTCTGAACTCTCCGACAAGGAACGCAAGGACCTGGAGGGCCAGCTGAAGGCCCGGGAGGATCTGCTGCTGCCCATCTACCACCAGGTGGCGGTACAGTTCGCCGACCTCCACGACACCCCCGGCAGGATGCTGGAGAAGGGCGTCATCTCTGTAAGAGCCTCTAGCAGTGGCCCCTGGGGGCCGGGTGTGAATGGCTCATCCTAAGGTCACATAGCTTCCAACACAGGGAAGAGATTTGGGCTCCAACACTACATGTTAGAATCACCTTGGGAGCTTAAAAAACAAACCCAGTGCCCAGGTGGCTCTTCCAACCAATTAAATCCGAATTTCTGGAGTGGGAATCGGACGTCAGGTTTTTTTTTTAGGTTCCCCCAAGAGATTCCAGTAGGCAGCGAGGTTTGGGAACAGTCTGATCTCTGGGTGTGTCTCTAACCGCTGAGCCAGATTTGGGAAGCGGTGTTTCTGTCCTGTGCTCACCCACCACTCACTGACCATGACGACCCCCACCCCTCAGAGGACATCCTGCAGGCAGCTGCTGCCCCAGTGCCCTGCCTAAGCCCTCCATGACCCTGGTGAGCCAGTCTAGAGACCTGGCGAAGTCCTGGCTATGCCACTTCTCTGGCAGGTGCCTTCGTCTCCCCAGGCCTCAGCATCTGTCCGGTGAAACGGGAACCATTGCAGAGCCTGTGCACGCTGCAGGGCTCTCGCCACGGATGGTGCCTGTGTATCCATCTGCCCTCTCCTGGTGCTCAGGCCTGGTGCTTGTTTGCAGGACATCCTGGAGTGGAAGACCTCGCGCACCTTCCTGTACTGGCGCCTGCGCCGCCTCCTGCTGGAGGACCAGGTCAAGCAGGAGATCCTGAAGGTCAGCCGAGAGCTGAGCCACGTGCACATCCAGTCCATGCTGCGCCGCTGGTTCGTGGAGACGGAGGGGGCTGTCAAGGTGGGTCAGGGCCAGAGACAGGGCGGGTGGGCCTGCGCAGCAGCGGGGTCCCTCTCTGGGACCCTGCTGAGGCAGCCCCTGCCCCCTCCCCAGGCCTACCTGTGGGACAACAACCAGATGGTGGTGCAGTGGCTGGAGCAGCACTGGCAGGTGGGGGACGGCCTGCGCTCCGCCATCCACGAGAACATCAAGTACCTGAAGCGAGACTCGGTGCTCAAGACCATCCGGGGGTGAGTGGACCGCCCGTCCCTTGGTCTTACCAGCAAGTGTAGAGCCAGGGGTGGCCTCCAGCTGCCTGTCCCCAGAGCAGAACCCACTGCGCTGCAGCGTCCCTGGGCTCGGGCTCAGCTTTGGGCATCGAGGTCCACAGCTCGGCCCAGGGCCCAGGCCCGGCACAGAGGCTGCAACTCCCCAGAGCCATGGGCAGGCAGTGGTTTCAATTCATGACCGTTGTTGGAATGTCTGTGGTGACTTGTCCAAGGTCGCAGCTAGAGAACCCATCTTCTAAATCAGTAGGCCTCAGGCTGCTAGCTCCCCATTGGTATCACCTTCCTGGGCGATTTGCTCCCCCCATTCCCATGGGGTCCCTTGAGAGGAAGGTGGTAGGCCATGTGGGACCCCATTTGGGGCATGAAGCTGAAGTTCAGGGGAGATGACATGCCTCAGGTCACACAACTAGTGACCAGGAGGGTCTGCTGTTATTCCTCAAGGCATTCTGACCCCCAGGCCATATTCTGTCCTGACTCCCCCACAGGACTGTCACCCCCACGGTGACCACAGAAGGAAGAGGTTTGGGATCTCCGGGTTGTCCACTCGGGAACATGATGACATGGCCCTGCACGGGGATTCTCAGGGCCACCCTAAGGCCCACTGAGCTAGTGGCAGCTGTGACCCCCAACCCTTCTCTCCTGTCCCCTGCAGCCTGGTCCAAGAAAACCCCGAGGTGGCTGTGGACTGCATGATGTACATGATCCAGCACATCAGCCCGGCGGAGCGGGCCCGGGCGGCTCACCTTCTGTCCACCGTGGACAGCTCCGCCTCTACCTGAGCCCCGCCCCTTGGCCACTCGCAGCACCCGGCAGGACAAAACCTGCGACCCGTCGACCACAGGCCCTCGCCAGGACCTTGGGTTTGCTTTTTAAAACAATGTTCCAGGCATTTCTGCAGGGTCACTGGCCCCAACACACTCCTGTCTCAATAAACCGGTCAGGAGTGCCCCCTTGCCAGCAGAAAGAGCCTCTTCTCCATCCTCGGGAACTGTTCATTTTGTCTCTTAAGACATTTTTGCTGCATCGCTGAATCGAGTGGAACCCAAGTGCCCGAGTTACCTTTTCCTTCCAGGGCCCGGATCCAGGTGTCCTTTTAGGCTCATTTTTATCACATCGCAGAATCTTTTATTTTTTTACTTTGAGACCAGCTCTTGACATAAGCATCCTCTGTGTTTCAGCAGAATAAAGAGGCCAAGGAAAGAAATACAGAAGCAAGACGAGGGAGAGAAACCTGTTTTTTGTAATGATGCTATTTGGAGACTGCCAAATCACCCAGGAAAGGGTACAAGTGATTTTTTTTTAAAGAGAATGAAATGGAACCTCGTTCCCCAGATGCCCCCCAGGGAGTCACTAGGGGTGTCCCGTTGGTGGGCTATGCTTAGCACTTGTCAGCAGGGACTCTGTTTTTGAGCGAGAAGAGCAAAATGAGCGGAACTGCCTGGCCCCGAGGTCCAGGGCCTTTGGAGGTCCCTTCTGCGTGGCTCATAGCCCTCTGAGGACAAGGACAAGCCCCTCCGCCACTGCAGGGTGGGTGCCCTTTCCATGTGCCCTCCGGCCCTGTCGGGACTGCGGGGGGTGGAGGAAAGCCCTCCCCAAACGCACAGCCCAGCCTGCTCACAGGCATCACCACTGTGATCGCCACTACCCCCTTGGGGGGGCCCTTTCAAGCCACTGTCACCTCTCACCTGTTGCCTTGAGGTCCATGGTGGGCTCTACCGCAAGGGGCGGAGCTGCTGGTCTCCAAGGACAGGGCCACGCCCATTTGCTCAGGGAGGCCTTTTTGACACGCCCACCAGCACCTGGCTCTGAAGGCTGCACAGCGTCAGGGCCTGCCATCGTCCTGGCCCTGCCATCCGTCCCCAGGTGCCGGCTGTGGTGGAGGGGGTTGCCCCCACCCCACTTCAGTGATGAGCAGTTTGTCTGAGGACACCCAGTGTTGTACCTGGCCAATTCGGAGGACAAGGTTGGCTGGGGGGAGCCCCCACATGCCAGGTGCTTGAGGCTGACTGAGTTTAAGAAAAAAATAGTCTGGTCATCAGCTAATGACACCCTGGCGTGGGGCAATGAGGGGTGGGAGACAGATGAATTACTCGTCCCATCCCCAGGCTAGGGAGGGGGGATCCATGCTGCCTTGGGAACTGAGTGTTTTCTATGTGGGGGACGCCTCCTTGGTTCTGGAGGGGAAACCCGTTGAATAATAGCTGCTACCCAGGACCTACCAGGCGGAGGAACCTACCAGGAGATGTGTGGAATAAATTATTTTTTAAAGGAAGTGCTTTGGCCTTGACTTACTATCTGGATGGGAAAAGGCAGGCCGCCTCCCTGAGCCGTTCCCCAGAGTTCACCGCCCTCCTGCAACAGCTGAGGTGTGCAGCATCGACTGACTTCTGCCGGGAACACCCTTCCTTCTGCCCTGGTCTTCGCCTGGCTGACTCCTACCCATCCCTCAAAACCCAACTCAAATGGGGCTTCCTCTGGGCAGCCTTCCCTGACCACCTTCCTGCTGCATTGCAGCCCCTGTGCTCCCCCTTTTGTGCGAAGTATGAAACGTATATTTGTAAGTCAAATGTTTACTGGGGACCCCAAGATCCTTTGGGCTGCTGAGTCGAGGGTGAGGTTGGGACAGCAGTTACTGGCAAAGAGGGGGCTCCCTTCTGGATGGGGAGCTAGAGGCCATCTCCAGTGACGTTCTCTGTCTGGTGACACCCTGCCCCACGTGGTTTGCCTCGGCCATTTCATGTGCAGGAAGCACAGGCCGAGAGCCTAGGAGTCAGTTTTTATTTTTTCCTTGTGGTAGAACACACGTAACAAAATTCACCATGGTGAAGTTCAGTGTCACGAAGCCCATTCATGGTTATATAGCCACCACCACCACCTGTCCCAGAACATTCTATTCACTCAGTTGGAAACTCCAGGCCCTTCAAACCCAAACCCCTCCTGAATCCCCCAGCCCCGACGGCCACCGTCTACTTTGTCTCTGAATCTGGCTCCTCTCGGAACCTCACGTGCAAAACCACACAGGATCTGTCCTTCAGTAACTGGCCTATTTCGCTTTGCATAGGGACCTCCAGGCACACCCGTGCTAGAGTGTGTGTCCGAATTTCCTCTTCAAGGCCGAGTAATATTCCACGTGTGGCTGGACCATGTGCTATTTGTCCATTTACTCACTGATGGACGTTTGAGCCACGATTGCCAGTAATGCTGTGCACGGAGGTGTACAAACACTCGTTCGAGTCTCTGTTTTCACATCTGTTGGCTTTCTGCCCGAAGGCAGAATGGCTGGGGCCTACAGTGATTCTGTCAAATTTTTCCGACAAGCCTTCACACTGCTTTTCCCACACCTGCACCCCTGCACGCTCCCACTGGCAGTGCAGCGGGTTCTAATCCCACCAGCTCTTCACCAACACTTACTTAATGGGCTTTTTTTTCTTTTTTTTAAATTTTTTTATTGATTATGCTGTTACAGTTGTTCTATTCCCCCTTTATTCCCCTCCACCCTACCCCTCATCCCCACCATTACCCCCCTTTAGTTTATGACCATGTGTCTCAAGTCCTTTAGATTCTATATTTCCCATGCTATTCTTGCCCCCCCCATCTATTTTCTATCTACTGTCTATGCTACTTATTTTCTGTACCTTCTCCCCCCTTCTCCTCCTCCCACTCCCCTGTTGCTAACCCTCCTTGAGATCTTCATTTCTATGTTTCCACTCCTGATCTAGCTGTCCTTTTAGTTTGCTTTCGTTTTAGGTGTGGTTGTTAATAACTGTGAGTTTGTTGTCCTTTCACTGTTCATGTTTCTTTAACTTCTTTTTCTTAGATAAGTCCCTTTAACATTTCATATAATAAGGGCTTGGTGATGATGAACTCCTTGAATTTGATCTTATCTGAGAAGCACTTTATCTGTCCTTCCATTCTAAATGAAAGTTTTTCTGGATAGAGCAATCTTGGATGTAGGTCTTTAGATTTCATGACTTGGAATACCTCTTTCCAGCCCCTTCTTGCCTGTAAGGTCTCTTTTGAGAAATCTGCTGACAGTCTGATGGGGACTCCTTTATAGGTGACTGTCCCCTTAGCTCTTGATGCTTCTAGGATTCTCTCCTTCATTTTAATTTTGGCTAATGTAATTATGATGTGCCTTGGTGTGTTCCTTCTTGGGTCCAACTTCTTTGGGACTCTCTGAGCTTTCTGGATTTCCTGGAAGTCTATTTCCTTTGCCAGATTGGGGAAATTCTCCTTTATTATTTGTTCAAATAAGTTTTCCACTGGTGGCTGTGCCTTTCCCCCTTCTGGTACCCCTATAATTCGGATGTTGGAGCGTTTAAAGATGTCCTGGAGGTTCCTAAGACTCTCCTCATTTTTTTGAATTCTTGCTTCTTTACTCTTTTCTGTTTGACCATTATTTGCTTTCTTCTGGTCCACTCCATTGATTTGAGTCGCAGTTTCCTTCTCATTGCTATTGGTGTCCTGTGCAATTCCATTCATTTCAATTAGTTTCGCCTTCATATATTTGTCTAATTTGTCGGTATAATCAACCAGTTCTGTGAGGATCCTGATCACCAGTGTTTTAAACTGTGCGTCTGTGAGTTTTGCTATTTCTTCATCGCTTAGATTTATATCTGGGGCTCTGAGATCCTCCTGCGCCATTCTTGGTCTGTTCGGGCCCTTTAAGTGTGAGAAAAGGCGCCTTGGATTCCCAGGTCGCTGGGTTGTGACGCTGTATGTGGGGGCGTGGCCAGAGAGGGAAATGGCGGCCCCCTCTGCTGTTTCTCACAGCTGGGTGAGGAGCAGCGCCTTAGGTGGTTCACCTGGGCCGGGCCACTCAGAGTCGCTGGGTTATTACGCTGTAGGTGGAGATGGGGTCAGAGCAGGGAAATGGCGGCGCCCTCCACTGCCGCTTGCCGTGGGGACCTGCCGGCCCGGTCCAACCGCCCACTCCCTCGCCTGTCCACCCGCGCACAAATGCGCGACCTCAGTCAACACGCAGCCCCGCTGCCCCGCTGTCTCTCCCGCGGTCGCTCGCCTGGTTGCTTTCTCGGTCGCTCACTAGGTCCGACCCTGCGCCTGGATTCCGTGCCTGAGTCCGTCTGACCGAATTTTCCTGTGCAACCCTGCTCCGCCAGCCGCTGGTTTCGCCCCTTACCGGTCAGGCTGAAGAATTTGTTGTTAACGGACTTCCGAAAAGTTCCAATTCTCCGTGTTCTGGCTGTGTTTTCTGTTGCTAATATTTAGTTTTCTCTAATCTTGGTTGTGTGAGAAGGCACGGCACATCCACCTATGCCTCCATCTTGGCGGAAGTCTGGGCTTTTTCTTTTTAGTATTGGGTTGGCCAAAAAGTTGGGATTTTTTTTTTCCATCCTATAAAAGACACATTTTTCATTTTCATCATTAACTTCATTAATTTGGATATTTTGAGTATGTTGACTATCTCCCACTACTGCTTCTAGTGGGTAGAGGCCAGAGGTGCTGCTAAACAGCTTCCAATGCATAAGACAGCCCCATAGCAAAGAGTTATTTGGCCGAAATGGCAATAGTACCAGGAATTTTTTTTTAAATTATAAAAAATTTTTTTATTGATTATGCTGTTACAGTTGTTCTATTCCCCCCTTCATTCCCCTCCACCCTACCCCCCATGCCCACCATTACCCCCCCCTTTAGTTTATGTCCATGTGTCTCAAGTTCTTCAGATTCTATATTTCCCATGCTATTCTTGCCCCCCCATCTATTTTCTATCTACTGTCTATGCTACTTATTTTCTGTACCTTCTCCTTCCTTTTCCTCCCACTCCCCTGTTGCTAACCCTCCTTGAGATCTTCATTTCTATGTTTCCACTCCTGATCTAGCTGTCCTTTTAGGTTGCTTTTGTTTTAGGTGTGGTTGTTAATAACTGTGAGTTTGCTGCCCTTTCACTGTTCATGTTTCTTTAACTTCTTTTTCTTAGATAAGTCCCTTTAACATTTCATATAATAAGGGCTTGGTGATGATGAACTCCTTGAATTTGATCTTATCTGAGAAGCACTTTATCTGTCCTTCCATTCTAAATGAAAGTTTTGCTGGATAGAGCAATCTTGGTTGTAGGTCTTTGGATTTCATGACTTGGAATACCTCTTTCCAGCCCCTTCTTGCCTGTAAGGTCTCTTTTGAGAAATCTGCTGACAGTCTGATGGGGACTCCTTTGTAGGTGACTGTCCCCTTAGCTCTTGCTGCTTCTAGGATTCTCTCCTTCATTTTAATTTTGGCTAATGTAATTATGATGTGCCTTGGTGTGTTCCTTCTTGGGTCCAACTTCTTTGGGACTCTCTGAGCTTCCTGGATTTCTTGGAAGTCTATTTCCTTTGCCAGATTGGGGAAATTCTCCTTTATTATTTGTTCAAATAAGTTTTCCACTGGTGGCTGTGCCTTTCCCCCTTCTGGTACCCCTATAATTCGGATGTTGGAGCGTTTAAAGATGTCCTGGAGGTTCCTAAGACTCTCCTCATTTCTTTGAATTCTTGCTTCTTGACTCTTTTCTGTTTGGCCATTATTTGCTTTCTTCTGGTCCACTCCATTGATTTGAGTCCCAGTTTCCTTCTCATTGCTATTGGTGTCCTGTGCAATTCCATTCATTTCAATTAGTTTCGCCTTCATATATTTGTCTAATTTGTGGCTATAATCAACCAGTTCTGTGAGGATCCTGATCACCAGTGTTTTAAACTTTGCGCCTGAGAGTTTTGCTATTTCTTCATTGCTTAGATTTATAGGCTCTGGGGCTTTGAGATCTTCTTGAGCCATTTTTGGTCTGTTCGTGCCCTTTAAGTGTGAGAAGCGGCTCCTTGAACTCCCGGGTCGCTGGGTTGTGACGCTGTATGTGGGGGCGTGGTCAGAGCGGGGAAATGGCGGCCCCCTCTGCTGTTTCGTGCCGCTAGGTGAGGAGCAGAGGCTTAGGTGGTTCACCTGGGCCGGGCCACTCACACTCGCTGGGTTATGATGCTATATGTGGAGGTGGGGTCAGAGCAGGGAAATGGCGGTGCCCTCCACTGCCGCTTGCCGCGGGGACCGGCTGGGTCCCGGTCCAATCACCCACTCCCTCGCTCGTCTATCCGCGCACCAATGTGCGACCACAGTCAACCCGCAGCCCTGCTCCCTCGCTGTTTCCCCGCTGTTGCTGGCTTGGTCACTCACTAGGTCCAACCCTGCGCCTGGATTCCGCATGCCTGAGTCCGTCTGACCGAGATTTCCTGTGCAACCCCGCTCCATCAGCTGCTGGTTTCGCCCCTTACCGGTCAGGCTGAAGAATTCGTTGTTAACAGACTTCCGAAAAGTTCAATTTTCCGTGTTCTGGCTGTGTTTTCTGTTGCTAATATTTAGTTGTCTCTAAACTTGGTTGTGTGAGAAGGCACGGCTTATCCACCTATGCCTCCATCTTAGTACCAGGAAATTTTGCAAACCACTTTTGACACGTTCGATCAATCACAGCACCTTCTGTATACACTGCACAAATCTTTTTTTGTGTTTCAGTTGCCTTTTTACTTTGCTGAAACAATAAGGCATAATACATTGAAAATGTCGCGTACCTTCTTCCATCTTCACTATTAAACGGCTGCACAAAAGTTCACCAACTTTGATAAGTTTTTTTAAACACATGCTGATAGACAGCTGTCATGATACAATCTAACAAAATGGTTTCAAATGAAGTTAAAGACAACTAAGGGCTATGAGAACTGTCACAGGGGGAAAAAATGCAACAGACTTTTTGGCCAACCCAGTAGTAACCATCCTAATGGATGGAGTGTAATTTTAACTCAAGTCACTGAATCTTTTTACTTGCATCCCTTAAACATCATGGATGAGACGTACAGACCCCATGAGAAAGCCTTTCATTCCCCAATTCTGTCTCCACGTCCCTCACCCACCCAGCTCGTCCTGCCCAGCAGGGCGCCTGCCTGCCTCTTTCCCTCCCTTCTTCCTTCCTTCCTTCCGCTCAGGGAGTTCTCCACGGTCCAGTCCCCAGTTTTGGTGTTCATGCTGCCACCTCCAGCCTCAGGTGGTGACACCTGGGCGGGAGGCCCGGCATTCAGGTTTGCTCGGAGGTGGCAATGTCTGGCCCCAAAACTTCATGTCCTACTTCTGACCCTATCTTTTATCTCCCTCCCTAAACCTCCGTGAATGAGCCGCCATTACCCTAGGCAGCCGCGGAAGGAGACTGCAGACCTGCAGACCTGCCCTCCGAGGCGTGGCTCTGCCGGAACCCAGCCAGCAGCTGGTCCGTCCATGGCCCGAGACTCGGGGACTCGGGAAGCAGCCTGGCTGGAATCCCACCTCTCCCCTTCCCTCAGCACAGGTAAGCTGCTCAGCCACTCTGAGCCTCAGTTTCCTCTTCTGTAAAAAGGGCGTGTCTGTTTCCTGTGGCTGCCGCCACAATCACCACAAATTCAGTGGCTTAAAAACAACAGGTTTGTTTTCCTACAGTCCCGGAAGGTCAGAAGTGTGAGGCGGGGCTTGCTGAGCCCAAGTCTGGTGCTGGTGGGCTGCAGTCTGGGTGGGGGCCCTGGGAGAGGATTCTTTATTTTTTGTTTCCTTTTTTTGGCTTCTAGAGGCCCCATTGTCACCTTCACAGCTGACAGGGACCCTCCGGCCTCCCTCTTTTACTTATAAGGACCCCGTGGTTGCACCGGGCTCACCTGGGAAATCCAGAACACTCTGTCTGAAGGGTGGCTGATTAGCAAACTTAATTCCAGCTGCTGCCTAAATCCCATTTCATGTAACGTGGTCACGGGTTCTGGGGAGTAGGATGTGGCCACTACTGGGGCGGGGGGGTGTCCCTCTGCCCAACGCAGGGCTCGAGAACAGCCTTGCCCCATGGGGAGGAGGAAGAGGAGGGACAGATGGTGAGCGTGTGGCGGTGCGTGTAGCGGTGCATGTAACACGGGGTGAGTCCCCACATGCATTAGAATGTGGACGGTTTCTCATGGGGCCGGGGGAGAGAAGCCGCACGAGTGCCCTCTCTGAGCCTCAGTGTTGTTGTGTGGGAGGCGGGGCCACCCCGCCACCTGGGGGCGCTGCTGTGCTGTTTGGGGGAGGTGCCCCAGCAGTGGCGTTTGTGTTCATCCCGTTTGCTGCCCCCTCCAGAGAGAACCTTTGAGAAGCCTTGTTCCTCCCGTCAGTCGACGGGGTCCCTGCTTGTGACTCTGTGACCCTGGTGTGGTTGCCTTGACCGTGCACACCTGGCCCTGCCGGCTGGGTGAGGAATGGGTGTGAGACCCATGGGGGCTGCTGGCCCTCTTCACCTGGTGACCCCCCCCCACTTTAGCGCCCCGGGAGGGTCCCCACCCCATCACTACAAAGTCCCTGGGGTGATGTTCACTGGTTGTGGCCCATGTGGCCGGGGGGAGGTCACTTGCCCTCTGACTCCAGCCAGTCACTGGGGGGCAGCTGGAGGCCGTGATGCCTTCTTTGGCTGGGCCTGAACCACAGGGCCACCTGGAGCCAAGAAGAGGGGTGCAGGGAGAGAAAGGCAGCCCAGGGTGGCCGTGCGGGCTTCTCTCCCTGGCTCCCGCTGGGTCTCCAGCCCTGCAGCACTTCCTAATGCCTCCGCAGCCCCTTCTTACTTGCCAAGTGTCACATGGGGGGAGCCCACAAGCCATGCTTCAGAGTTAAGACTCCTGACTACACCCTTCTGCTGTTATCTTGGGTGGCAAGTCACCTGCTTAATGCCTCAGTTTCTTCATCTGCAAACGGGAGTAATAACCGATGACACACCCATTAGGGTCGTCTCGAGGACGGAGGCCTGGGGCGCAACAGCTCACACCCATGTACCGCGCAGCCATGGTCTGCAGTCTGGCACCGTGAACTCAGTGCGGCCTCTTCCTGTGACCGGGAGTCCCACCCAGCCTCTCTGGGCCTCCCCTTTCCGAACCGAGAACCGGAGTCACGTCCCCGCCTGAGAGCGTGCCTGTCTGGAGCCTGGCACTGAGGGACAGTGAGCGGCAGCTGTGCTCATTTCTTTGATAATGACAAACTCCTCCTAGTTTCTGGTGTCGAAAGACCTAGACTCAGCGTGGCTGTGGTGTCGGCCCTCTGGGCCTCGGTTTCCTCACCTGTAAAAGGGGTCTGACCTGTGAAGGGTGTGTTGTCCTCCCCCCCATACCTTCCTCAGAGCCACAGAGCTGCCGTTCAGCCTTTATTGACAGAAGACAGTTACCAACACTACGCTTACAGTCTCGCCGCCACCGAACACGGGGTCTTAGCGAACCACCCAAACACCTTAACTTCCGGGGGCATCAGGTCACACAGAGCAGCTGGGCTGCGTCTAAAGACAGTGAGCTCGGTGGGAAGTTCCAGAACGCAGAAGAACTTAAAGGTGGTTCTTCAACATGGGCTGGACACCAAGTCTCCCAGGTGGCTGGCAGACCTGCTGGTCAGTCGGAAAGTTCTGGCTCTGGGGTTGGGGAAACTCTCGTGCACAGGAGCCCTCAGCTGAATCAAATCAGTCGTTGGGCAGGGGAACTGCGCTATGAGCCACTGCTGAGTTTCTCAGTCTCAACCGAGCTGGGAGGTCCTCAAGGACTTTCTCTTTTCTCCAGGCTACTCACCTGGCTCCCCTCTAACCCACCTGTCTGCAGAACCTACCACTTGGAAAGTCAGTAATTGGCAACAAGAGAAAAAAACATTAAAACAGTCACAGGACAATGAAAAAGGCCAGAAGTGCCAATACCCCCTCTGGGGTGCAGTTTTGCCAGCCCCCGCTCACGGCGTGGGTCCAGCTTTACGTGGTTCAGTTTGCTTTCTTTCCAGAGGGGCATCTTAAATTCCAGTGTGAATAGCCCTCCACCATCCCCCACTCCTGTCTGACTGGCCCTTAGAAAGCCCATGGGGACCCAGAACTCTGGCACCTCCCCTCTTGGGTCCACGAGGGGAGCACTGAATCATGGCTGAGCAGCTAGAAAACTATCCGGTCCCTAATTTTAAAAAACAGGATGTTTCATGGTATCAAAAGTGCTTGTTTGTCCTAAACAGCAGCCCAAGGCTGCAAAGCAATTAAGAGCCAGCTGGGCATCTGATTCGTGGATGGTTTAGGCATTAGGGTTGCCGGGCTGCAGAGGCAGGCCAGCGAGTCTCGTTCCAGGGCCTACGGGCTGGATTCGAAGAGGTGGTTTGATTGGGCTCCAATAAATATAAATAAATGTACGCAGGGCCATGTGGCCCGGGGATCTGCTCTATGCGCTCCTAATAGACTACCGCAGAAGCGGGCCTGGTGGCCGGCGGGGCAGGAGCCCGTTTTGGAAAGTTCATTCAGCCTGTTCCAGTCCAAGAGAAGTTAGTCGCCAGCTCCTCTCTGGGCCTCAGGGCCCGTCCCTTTGAGGCTGAGGCAGGTGTTTCATCCAAGAAGAATAAATTAAAGGGTTTCCCTTCACACTTCCCAGGTGTTCCCCGGCTGCACCAAGGCGTCCCACAGTGGGCTGCAGGTCGTGGGGGGGGAGTCCAGCAGGGAAGCGGGATGGAGGCCTCACATCCCAGGTCTCGGGGGAGGTCAGGATGCTTGTCCACTGTCCCCTGTCCGTCTGACCTGCGTGGAGGCCGTCGTCTCAAAGCAGGGCTATGGGCTTGTTCCCTGGGGCCCCCAGGTACTGAGAGGAGGAGGTGGCGGCTGCCGCGGCCACACTGTCCGGGGTTGGGTACGCGGTGTACAGACCCGTCACCTGCAAGTCTGGGAAGGACTGGCCACTGCTGCCGGACACGGCGGCCAGGCCCGAGGCCCCCAGCTCACAGCCCAAGGGCGAGTCTCCGAAGGCTCCCAGCGTGTCCAGGCTGAAGCCCTCGTCCTTCATCTCCTCCCAGAGGTTTCCTTTCAAAGACAAAAGCGCTTAGGTGAGCCGGCTCCATGTCACAGAGACCCAAGTTTGAATCCCCCCTCTGGGTTTTAAAGTCGCATGTTGCAGGAAGGGCAAGGCCTGGAGGGAGGTGGGCATGGGAGGGGGGTGCAAATGGGGACCTCTATGATAGTGTCGGCAATAAAAATAAAGTTAAAAAATAAAGTTAGGAAAGATAAGTTGCATGTTGCAAGAGAACAGCTTAGAGAAGGCAGAGGTCCAGCCCCAGCCCTCACCTTCCCACTGCGTGTCCTTGGGGACGTCACTTCTGTCCCAGAGCCTTGGGCTCCCCAGAACGAAGTAGAGGTGACCTGAGAACCCACCCCAACACTTCCACCAGGGTGCAGGTGGCAAACACAGGCCCGCGGGCTGAACCCGGCCCTCCACTTTATTTTATATGGTCTGGAAAATTGTTTCTACTCGGTGGCAGCGCTGAGCTCTTGTTTAACTGTTAAGGAGTTACATTTACACAGTCCTAAAATTACATTCAGCTCTTTGAAGGCAACCTTGAGGCCGATGTGGCCCTCGGTGAAAATGAGTTTGGCACCCCTGCTCTAGGGGATGTGTGGAAAACACGGAGCCCTCACTAAGTGTCACCACCATGGTCAAAGCCAGGGGACAATTTTCCTCTCTTCATAGTAGTTGAACAGCACAGTTACCCAGGGAGAGGTCCAAATATACCCATTTCACAGCTCTGACTGACTGACTACCCCACTGACTTGTCCATTTTCCTCGCTAGACATCCCTGGAGGGCAGAGGCTATGGGCTGGCACTTAGTAGGTACACCTGTCTCAGTGCGTGGATGAATCACGAGCCTTCGCTGAAACCTGAACTTCCCTTGTTCATTCACTCATTTGTTCCCCTGTATCGAGGATGACCACATGTCCGGCACAGCAGGTCATTGTGACCTGGCGCGAGGCTGGCACATGCAAGCTGAAGCAGTTACATTTGGGGTCAGTTGGACCCAGCTGAAGTCCTGGCTCAGCCACTTACTAGCCAGGTGACCTTGGGCCTTCACTTTGCCTCAGTGTCCTCCCTGGTGGATGGGGATGTGACATGGCAGTGGACCCACAGGACTTGTAGGATGAGGGGGGACGCTGCCTGTGAAATGCTTGGCAAGATGCCTGGTATACAGTAAGTGCTCATTAAATGCTCGGTGTAGTCTGCTATTCCTAGGTGGCTGGGAAGTGTTTGTTGAAGGAATGAGCTGGGGGGAGGTAAATGCAGACAGCCCTCTCTGTCTTTCTGCCGCCCCCACCTCTTCCCCTCCCCCACCTCTTCCCCTCCCCCTTCTGCTCCCACCACCCATTCCTCCAGCCTCACCCTGCAGAGCAAAGTCCATGATGCTGGGGTCCAAGGCATCCACCTCAGTGTTCATGTCGGTGCTGATGTTGATGAAGTCCATAGGCGCCCTTCCCATGGCTGGGTGCGGGAGGGGACTGGGGCTCAGGTCTGGCAGGGCATGGAGGGGTGGGGTCTGGGCCGGGGCAGGAGAGTCTGGGGCCAGCTGTGCCTGGGGCTGGACCTGGTGGTGCAGGGGGACTGACTGCAGGGACAGGGTCATCAGTGGCTGGGGCGGGAGCTGGGAGACGGCCAGGCAGCCATGGGCCATGGCCACCGTGGTAGCGTGGGTTGGCACAGGGGCCCTGGGCTCCCCCCGTTTGCCGGGGCGTCGGCAGCTTTCAGGCCGGTCTGAGATCAGCTTGTCCAGCTCCTCTGCAGGCAAGTGGGAGAGGTCACTGAGAGGCCACAGGACAGTTTCAGGGCTCTAGCCCACGCCCGGGTTCAAGGCCCAGCCTTATCACCTGGGTGGCTTTAGCAAAGCCTCTGGCTTCTGTGAACCTCTTTATCTAAGAGACGGCATCACAGACTGCACAGGGTTACTATGGAAATGCAGTGAAACCACAAACTGTAGGAACTCTGAGGAATGAGAGGAGCCTTGGGTAATGATGTTGGCTCCTCTCATGAGGAGAGTGCCCCAGCGGACGGTCCTGTAACTCCGGGACTGCCCTTGAACCTCAGAACAGCCCTGCAAGAGGGAGGTGAGGCAGGGATTGTGGGACAACATGAACACGCACGGGGCCTGGCCAGTCCCTGCTGCTGCGTAGACAGTGGGAAGTGTGGCTCTGGGTTCAACTGGGCCCTCCTCCCTGCTACTGAGTACAAACGAGACTGAAATTGCTCTCCAGTTACTTCCGGTTGTTGGCTTGTACCTCACTGACTATATACACATTTTGAGACCAGACCACAAGGGTCCCAAGACCTACTTGGGTTGCACCCATTTTAGGAACGAGAATGCTTAGAATCTAGAAGTTGAAGTGGCCTGCCCAAGGACGTCACACTACACTTGGGTGAGAGGTGGCTCTGGGCCTCAAGCCCGACCCCAGAGCTCTCTGTGGGCCGGGAGTCGCGGGATGCTGCTGATCTGCCGTGAGCTGTAATCTGCCGCTTCGCCCTGGAAAGGCCGAACAGCGCGCCTTCCTGCGCACTGTCCGCGCAGGCGCCGGTTTCCCCCCACATGGGCCGATCGTACTTTGTAAAGCTGTGCCAACGTGTTAGAAGGTGAGAACGCAGCCTTCCCCCATGGTTGTTTAACTCAGCATTTCTGAGTGAGAGGCCAGGGGTTGCTCAGTGAGACTCAACAGCCCTTCGTGTGTCTGGCCAGGCACCTCCACTGACCAGTCACTGGAGCGCCGTGGGGGGGCGGCAGGTGTCATGCACGGGCAGAGGGAGGGGCATCCGCCAGGCGCCCATGTGCCCGCTGCAGTAGTGGGGACTCGTTACTGGGGGGGAGGGGGCCTCACCAGGGTTGGCCATGCTCCGGCGGATGGCCGCCAGGTCCTTCCTCTTCCACTTGTGCATCTCCTCCTCCATCTTGTCGATGCGCGCCAGGTTCAGGGCCCACAGGCAGCCCTTGCGCGAGGACCCGCTCATCTTGTTCTCCACCTTCTCAAAGCACTTGTTCAGGGACAGGTTGTGCCGCACCGAGTTCTTCCAGCCGTCAGGTGCTGTCTGTGGGGAGAAAGAGGCAGGCGGCAGAGCCCTCCAGAAACTTCTCTGTAAGCCCCTCCTTCCCCTCCAGGGGGCATGGCCAACTCGGGCCTAGAGGGGCAGTGCGTGGTGGGGGGGGTGGTGGCAGGGTTAAATGACATTGTCTAACACTCAACCTTGAGTTGGGAAGACAAGAGAGAGTGGTCTGGACTGTGGCAAAGTGGAGGGCCACTAGTCTGATTCAAGGGGCAACTGCAGTTCAACTCCAGCCTTTGTTACCACATGAGAACAAGGCCTACAGCTGCTGGGTTTCCCACTCTTTCTCTCCCACGCAGGAAGCGAGCGAGCGGGATGATGCTAATACATGAATAACTGGCCAAGTGTATGAAATGCCAATTATTTTTAAATGCTCTTACTTTATTGTTAGGTAACTAGATACTGTAATGGACCTCACGCCCTACCCTATTCTCTCTCTGCTCTCCCCCCTCCCCCCCTGCCTCCCCCACTCCCATATACCACTATGCTACAATATTGCTGCTAAGGACACTCTCCAGGTTAGGGACCCCAAGCTTATTTCCCTCTGACTTCTTGTTCCCTTGATTGCGTGATGCCAACAAGGGTAACATTACTGATGGCCAATCACGTGCCAGGTGCTGCAGGCCCTTCACAGGCAGAATCCTTACTAACCTGGCCGGCTGGGCATTGTTCTGCCCCCGATTCCAGATGAAGAAACTGAGGCTCTCACCAGGTCCGTTTTGCATCATCGTTATATTTTACTGAGTCTGTGCTGAACAACTAGGCGGACCCCTCTACCCTCTGCCCCTGGGATGCCTAGTGAGCTCCTCTTCATCCATCAGAGCCCAGCTCAAATTCCCCCTTCTCTCCCTGGATCGTTGGGCCCATGTCTGTGTGAGGGCGCATGTGCAAGTGTCCTTCCTGCCAGGTCTACGGAGGTAGCCAGGGCCTAAAAGGGCGGCTCAGTTTGTCCTGGGGGCGCTGCTGGGTCTGACAGGGTTAGGCAGAGGTCAGAGCAGCCCTAGCACCCCTACCTGGGCTGGGCTCCTCACCTTGAAGTAGGGGAAGTGCTCCTTCATGAAGCTGTAGATCTCGCTCACAGGCAGGCTGCCAGTCTTGCTGTTCTTGAGGGCCATGGCAATCAGACAGCTGGAGGCAAAGGGTGGGCAGGCCCGGCATGAGGGAGGTGTCTCAGGCTGACAGCCCAAGGTGCCTCTGCCAGGGAGCCTGCCCTACTTGCTGCCTCCCGCCCTTGGTACCTGCCCCTACACTCATGCAGCATTGACCATAAATACCTCTTCATGGCCTTGCATCTTCCTTGGTCCCTGCTCCTTTCCTTGACCCTGAGCTCAGCCATTGGTATCAGTTTGAGAAACCTCATCTTTTCCTCTCTTTTCCCCTCCCCCTTAGTAAATGTCTATGGGCCTTTAGACTTTAACTATGCTGTTTACCGCCCCCCTCCCCAAATCTTGTGAGACACACAGTGCTATTTATTTTGCTGACTTTAGACATCAGAGGGAACTGAAGCTCAGAGAGGCCAAGCCACTTCCCCAAGGCCACACAGCTTGTGAGGGACAGAGTGTAGTCCTGGGCTCAGTTCTGGGGTAGATTCTCCTCTCTGGGGAACTGACCGCTCACGTTATGGTCTCTCCCGAGAGCATATCCCACCTGGGGGTTCCCCAGTCCCCCAAACCTCCCCCTTGGAAGTCTGGGCCACCACATCTCGCTGTCTGAGGTGCCCTGAAGGCATCCTTCACCCCTCTCCTCCTCAAACCCCCTTGGCCCGGCCCACCCTGGACCTCACCTGTATGAGTAGATGGGCTTGGGGTAGTGTTTGGGGTGCAGTTCTTGAGATGAGTGCACAGCCATGCGGGGCTGGGGGTAGGGAGGTCGTGCCCCAAACGGGGAGCCATACAGGCCCACAGGAGGGCACTTCCCGCAGGCAGGGGCAGGGCACAGGTAGCAGAGAGAGAGAAGGTGAGAGAGAGCACAAATCACTCACAGTAACCCCGCCCCCACCCCAGTCTAGAGAAGCAAGATGAGATGGGGGGTTACAACCCCTGGAGACAACCTTGTCTCCACGTTGGCAGGGCTTTTTGGGAGAATGAAGGGCCCCAGAACATGGACTCAGTGGAGAACGTTACCCCCATGTCCCGGCTGAGTAAACTGAAGCTCAGAGAGGTCCCTAGCTGGTCAAAGTCAGGGGTGTCTGCCTCTGAGTCCGGAGCCCCTCCGAGCCCCTGGTACCTGCTGGGCGCCTGGGGGGAGTGGGAACCGTCCTTGAGGAGCTGGAGAGTACATTTGCGGTGGGTCACGCAGGCTGGAGGAGGGCTGACCCCCCACAGGGAACTGGCTCATCTGTGGGGCAGGGAGGAGACAAAGGGTCAGGGGGACAGAAGAGACAGCAGACCTGCAGGACACCCCCGGCCTCTCCCCAGCCCACGCAGCAGCACTTACGCCGGCTCTGTGGCTGGCCAGGGGGCCCAGGCCCAGCATGCCTGGGGGAGCCATGCCAGCCGGGCCATGGAGTAGGGGGCCCGGGGCGGCTCCCACATGGAGGTCAGCCACCCCAGCCAAGGAACCTGCAAAAGGAAAGCAGAGAGATGGGGCTGAGCTGGAGGAATGGCGGCCGCAGGCACCTCCAGAGAACAGAGCTGTGCCACACCATTGGGGCCAGACACATAGGAGGTGCTCAGCAAGTCACTTCCCTCAGGTGTAATTATTTAGAGTGAGTTCCTACTGGCTGTATAACTGTGGATCAGCCTCGGTTTCCCCATCTGTACAATGGGGCTACTGACATTACCTACCTTATTGCTGTGACAGTTAAATGAGATGATGTCTGTGAAGTGCTTAGCACACTGTTGAGTGTGCGATACTGTCTCAGTAAATGTGAGCCGCGAGTAATAACCACGGTAATGATGATGTATTGAATACCTTGGCTTCTGTCTTTCATGAAGCTAAAACATCAATTCATTGTTCATCTTTCCTCCAACAAAGCGTGCCTCGGTTCCCCAGTGCCTCTAGGGTCAGGGCCAGCTGCTTTTGTGCCTCCTTGCCCCTTTGCCAAGCCCTGCTCCTCTGCCGAGGGTTAGCTCAGGAATAGCAGGTGTACAGCCCCCTGGCATCCCGTGCTGGGCCTGTGACAGACGTTGCTAATCTATCACAGATCTGCCCTGTGCCAGACTGATTTTAGGTAGCCACCTGCAGTCAAACGAAGCTGACCTGCAAGATGATCCCGCCCTGGGCCACCTCCAGGAAGCCTTCAGGGATCCTCAGCTCTCCCCTGAGTTCTGGCTGCCACCTAGGCTCATCCTTTGTGTCTTGGTCTGTCTGCCTTGTCCTTCTCTCTCTGACCAGACGCCCTCAGCTCCATTACGTGACTCAGTGCTCCAAATGCAAGTGATGGGCACACAGGAAGTACGTGGCAACACAGTGAAGGAAGGGGCTGCCTTATGTCACACTTACCTCTGATTGGACAGCTACTGTGTGTAAGACACTTTCTGCACTGAATGCTCACAACACCCCATGAGGACAGTCCTGTTAGCCTTTCATCACAGATGAGGGACCAGGTCTGAGGGAACAGGCCCTGGGTCACACAACTGTCCCCTCAGGCATTCTGGATCACAGGTGGACAAACTACGGCCGGCAGGCCACATCTGGCCCACAGCGTGTTCTTGTAAATACAGTTTTATTGGCATACAACCACACCCATTTATTTACATATTGTCAATGGCTGGTTTTGCACTGCCATGGCTGAATGACCTATACAATCTAAAATATTCACTACCTGGTTCTTTTTGGAAAAAGTGTGCTGACCTGTGCTACAGATGTTTTGGCCAAGAACAATTTGTTCAATGGCAGAAATACCATAGGTGCCCATTTTTTTCAAATATTAATACTTTCAATGTAGTGAGACAGGTGCTTTTGTTGATGGTTTTTGCTGAGCACTTTGTAGGCATTTAACCCCCTTGCCGTGGTTGCAGCCGTTCACTGGGAGCGCCTCCGGGGTCAGGCCCCCTGTGCCCGGCGCTCTCCTAGTCTTCTCTTCATCTCTAGACCAAGGGGTCAGTGAACTTCTATGAGGGGTCAGATCGAAAATATGTTAGATTTTGCTGGCCATATGTTTTTGTTTTACAACCTTCGAAAAATGTAAATGGCATTCTTAACATACAGGCTGTAGAAAAGCAGGCTGCAGGCCGAGCTTGGCCCGGGGGCCACGCATGCAGACTGCTGGGAGGGGCGGGTCTGCCTATTTCACACTGAAGCTGCAGCTCGCGAGGGGCCTGGCATGTGGTGGAGAGAAAAAGGACGAAGCGCACGTCTCTGGGGAAGACAGAGTTAGGCACAATCAATAGCTATAAAGACAGGCCCAGAGGGAGAGTGACCTGCCGCTGGGTGACATTTCTAGGTATCACCCCTCCCCTGTACCACCCTCATGCTGTCCCACCTTGCCCCTGAGCCTACCTGGGTGTGGGTGGGGCGCACTAGGGCCGCCCAGGTCCGTGCGGCCACTTGCCATCTGCTGTAGCCGAGGCACGTCCACAGCCGTGAGCCAGGACAGTGACTGCAGGTCCCCAGGAAGGTCTTCATCGCTGGTGGTGGCCAGGAGCCTGCAGGGGGGCAGGAGCTCGGGAGGGGTGGGGAGCTCAGGCTAGTTCCCGGGGTCTCCCCAACCTCTGAAGCCTCCCCCTTAGCCCCTCACCCCCCTAATCCTCATGTCCTGGCCCCAGGACCCTCCCTTTGGCAGCCAGGTCACACATCCTCAAATCACTCCTTCATTCACTCTCTAAACACACACTCCTTAGTCCTTATCCCACAGTAACAGACACAGGTGTCTGCTGAATACGTATGATGTACCGAGCACCATATCAGAGGTATTAACACATTTAACGTTCCCAGTCAATCCATTAGGTCAGTATTAATATTATTCCCATTTTACAAGTGGGAAAACTGAGGCACTGGGCTCAGTGCCCAAGACGCACAGTCCCATTCAATTCCCTGAGCAACCCCAAGAGAAGAATATGCTCATATCCCCCTTTTACAGATGGAGAAACCGAGGCTCAGATACTGAGTCACTTGCCCAAGACCACCACATGGATCAGGAAGTGGTGGGGCTGGAACCCAGGCCACGTGGCCTGAAGCCCAGGCTCTTCCCCATGACCCCAGGCAGCCCCCGAAGGCTCCATTTAGGACCCTCCCCTGGAGTGCTTACCAGATTCATGAGCAAAAACATCTCTTTCCATGGAAGGAAAAAGGCTGTCCCCTGAGGGTGCCAGAGAGGTACCCCAATTGTGAGAGAACTGGGCCCCCCACCAGCATCTTGTCCAGGTTATAATGGGGCTGCCAGCTGGCCCGGCGCCCACACCATTCCCCACCACGCCTGCCCCCTGCCACCCAGGGGCCATCTGCCTGCTGCTCTGAGGACCCCATGCTCCAGATTCTAAGCCCCAGTTTCACAGACAGGTGCCTTGGGGCCCCACTGAGCTGGGGGAAGAGAGAGAGAGAAGAAAGGAAGCCCCTGGTCTCTCATGTGTGTGTTCCCCAGGACCCACAGTGGGGCATTGGCCTCACCCTCCCGCCATGGCCGGGCTGCCAGAGCCTGGTGGGCTCCCTCCTCTCTCTCCCTTCCCCCGCCCTTCTTCCCATCTCTCCTGCTCTCTTTTTCCTTGTTTTAGGGTCACAATTAGCGTTGCCATGGCCACTGCTGCTCACTTGTCGTGGGGCCTGGGCCCTCAGCCCGGCATCAGGTGACTGCCCAGCCGCCCCACGACTGGCTGCCTTGTAGGAAAACAGGGCCAGGAAGCGATTTGAAAACTCTGCCGGCCCGTGTCAGCGTCGGCAGTTGGCCCATTGTGTGACAAACGACTGTTGCCCCTGTGGCGCGTGCCCCCCATTGTCCTGGGGTCTCAGTGCAATTGTTTCTGCAGCCCCCCCGCCCCGGCCGCCATCCCTTCCGCCTGCTTGTAACTCATCTAGCCGGGTGACAGCCACGCCCAGGCCCGGGTGACACCATCTGTCCCCTCAGGCCCGTGGAGACCATGGAGTGAGGCTGAGGGAGTGGGCCACCCGCTGTCAGGAGTGCCTGCCTGGCCCCCACCCCTCCCTCCTCACCCCCAGCATCTGGTGGTTCGAGCCCCACTCCTGCTCGGTGACCTGCTGGAGCTGCCAGGACCCTGGCCACCCTGCCGGGTGCTGGGGCCACACGGAGGAGAGGAGCGGCGCCCTGCTGGCAGGCTGCTCAGGGTGGGGGCCCCGCCAGAGCCCCAAGTGGTAGCGGGGCGACTTATAAACAAACCAGGCTCCTGGGCACCGTGAATAGAACCTCTGGTGGCGGGGAGTCTCACAGACTGTGCCTCGGTGGTTAGGAGCCCAGGCTCTAATCCTGATCTCGGCTCCCCGTGTCCCCTGGGGGCGAGGACTTACCCTCTCCGAGCCTCAGTTGTTCCTCTGTGAAATGGGCATAAAGATAGCTCCTATCTCACAGGGTGTTGTGAGGGTTAAATGTGTTAATGCAGGTCAAGCACCCAGAACAGTGTCTGACTTAGCTGTCATTAATATTAACACCAGCGTTAATGTTAGTGATCATCTTAGTCAAGTCCCCTGGGGACTGGAAGAACTTGGAAGGTCTGGCTCTGGGGTCACGTACACCTGCCCCCGCCGCCGCCGCCGCCACTGGTGGCCTCCATTGATTGGGTCCGTCCTGTATGCCAGGCCCGGGGCCCCATGCCGCCTCCATTTCACAGACAGAGAAACCGAGCCCTGAGCAGTCTGGAAATGCGCCCAGCCCATCTCCCACAGGGCGAGGGCCACCGAGGTGACCGCGTAGCGCGTGGCTGCCTCACAGCAAGGGCTGAATCAGGTGCTATCCTGATTTCTTCTTGCTATTCGTGGACTTCACAGGCTCCCCATTTCTTCAGCCCCACCCCCCTCCCACAAGTGAGGGGCAGCCGCTGACTGTGGCCATCGATGTCTGTCCCGCCCCCGACCACCCACCTGCGCACTGTCCCTGCGCCACAGCTCGTCGCTGCCATTCCCCTGCTAGGCCTGCCCTTTTCACCTTTCCTCTGCCCCCCCCCCAAGTGCGCCCGTCCTGGAGGTTCACTCCTGTCTTCTGTTCTCTTAATGCAGAAGTCCCCTCAGACATCGCCTGACCTCACCCTTTTACCCTTGGGGAAACTGAGGCTGGGAGAAGGGAAGCGGTTTGTTCCCAGTGTCGCAGGTCAGGAAAGGACCAGAGCTGGGGCTCCTGTGCAGCCACTTCCCAGCCTGGGAACTTCCTCTGGCCAGTCTTTGTCCCCCGGACTCCAAGCTTGGGGTGGCCCCCACATCCCGACTGCCCCCCGGGGTCACTGAGCCTGGCACGGCCATCTCTCTGCCCTTGCTTCACAGAGGGCTGGCCCTGCGCCCGCCACCACCCCGTGTCCCCGCACAGTCATGCTACTTAAACACCTGTTTGGGTGACCCCAGGCCACCAACACAGAGCACGACCGACGTGGGCTGTCATGGTTAGCACTTCTAGCACTCACAGAGCTGTCCTCTGCTCCCTGAGTTCTTGTGACAGCTTCAGGAGAGGGACAGGGAATATACGGCCCCACTTTACAGGTGGAAAAGCTGAGGCCGGAGAGGTCAAAGCAAAATCGTGACCGGGATTTGAACCTGGATCTGTCTGCTTCAGTACCGGGTTGTCCCCAGAGCACCACGGGCCGAGACACAGACATCCTCTGGGGGAGACACCCCTACCCCGAGTCTGGGGCTCTCAGCCAGGCCTGTGTCAACCAAACCTTCCCAAGAGCTGGGTGCAATGTGGAGTCCAAGGCCTAGCCCAGACCCTGAGTCCCATGCGTGGGCTGCAAGGCCCGGGAAGCTGAATTTTAATGCCTCCCAGGTGCCCTGTGTGTGGGGCAGGGGCTCAGGCATAGTTCAGGTGCTGACCAAACAAACCTTGGTGTGAGTGCTAGTGACTGTGTCTCTGTTTTTATATGTGTGTGTGCCCCCCCCCCCCCCCCCCGTCACTGTGTCCGAGGATCCCTGCCATAAAGTCCTGACCCTACTCTTCCTGCCTGGGGACATTAGATGTGCTTCTGAGCCTTCCTGAGCCTCAGTTTCCTCATCTGTAGAATGGGGGCAACAACAATGGAGGCACAGCCTTCTGCCATGGACACCGGGGCACCTCAGTCTCCTGGGCCCGTCCCCACCCCACACATCACTGTCTGGCGTCCCCACCGCCAGGCTGCCCACAGCCACCAAGTCTGGCCTTCTGAGGAGGAGGTCTGTACCTGCACTCAATGCGCCCCTCACCCCCAGCTGATTCCCACACAACTGGGGAGCTGTGGTCCCCACCGGGCTCAGGTGACCCCACGCTGTGACATGGGCGTGTAGCTGGCCTTGCAGTCCCAGGGGCACCGCAGGCCCCAGGTGGGGCTCAACCTTGACCACATCCCTCCATCACACCCCCACTGCGCCTTTGTCCATGCCTCGCATATTCTGTTCCTGCACCAAGGGTGCCTTTCATTCTTTCTCTCTGCACCTGGGGCGCCCCCGCCCTGAGCCCCCATTTCTCTGAGCCCCAGGGAGCACCGCAGTTGGACAAAGTTCCATCTTCCCCTGAGCCCAGCTAACATCCCCAGGTGGGCAGGGGCTGCCCCTCCAGGTCTTGGGGCCTCCCGGTCTGCAGGGAGGAGGCCAGGACGGGGCAGAGCTCACCGCTGGATGCAGGTGGCCCCAGCAGCTCCTGATGCTGAAGCGCCCCCCGAGGGAGGAGCCGTACCCTCAGAGCCCAACACAGGCGTCAGGTGGGTGCTCGGTGAGTTCCTCTAGGTCCAACAAATGAGCAAACAGCCCCAAGCTTCCCACGTGCCCCCCAATCCTCCCCAGGGTCAGGCAGGGTGAAAGCCTGCAGGCAAAGCCTGGGTGGGCGAGCCCTTTGTGTGTGGCCAGCCCTGAGCTCAAGTGGGCTGTGTGTTTGGTCTCGGGTCAAACTCACAAAAGCCCGATCAGGCAGCCCTGGTCGCCATCACTGCCTTCCCACTCGCCAGAGGGAGCCGCTGAGGCCAGGGAGGAGGTGGGCTTGTCTAGGAGGCCCCAGCGGAGACCAGGCCAGTTACGGCCACACTGCCCTTTCCGCCGCCCCACGAGGCATGGCTGCCGACATGTGCTCTCTGCATCCAGAAAATCCTAGCACCGTGCCAGCCAATAGGGAGCCACTAGCCACATGCGGCTATTTAAATTTAAAGGAATTAAACTTAAAACGACAGGCTCGGTTTCTGCGTCCCACCAGCCACATGGCAAGGGCTCGGTGGCCACGCATGGCCACTGGCAGCCATAGCGGATGGTGACGGAGGTTCTACTAGGTGGCAGTGCTCTGAAACATTCTTTTCAGTCTTCATGGAAAAAATCTGTGGTGTCTCTACATTGCTTTATCACGAGTATAAATCTGATTTAGGTTTGGAGAACTCAGATGGACCTCGGAGTGTTAGTGTGTTTCCCTAGAAAAGACACACCCCGGCCCACGCCCAGCAGGGAGGAAGGTGCAGGGAGGGGCTCTGCAAAGCTGGGGGCTCTGCGCTGAGGCGCTGCATAACGTAGTGAGCTCTCCGTTCCAGGAGCATTCAAGCAGCAGCCGAGGAACCTGGTGGGCCCCTGCTGGGTGAAAGAAGAACCCAGCCAGCCTCCAAGCTCCCTTTCAAAGCAAAGACCCTGGAATCGATGACAATAGGGTACAGTCACCCCCTAATTGCATTTCCAAAGTTTTAGTATGCTGGGCCAGCTCCTTTCCCTCCCTGGGCCTCAGTTTCCCCATCTGTAAAGCGGTGGTGGCCGAGTCAGGGTACCACTGGCACTAACTCTAGGAGGGCAGAGTAGCCCGTGGTTAGAAGCAGGTTTGAACCCCACGGCAGGCGGGCCTGAACGCTTCCCAGCTGTGTGACCTGGGGCAGGTAACTCAACTTCCCTGGGCCTCAGTTTCCCCATGTGTAAAATGGGAACAATAACGGCACCCACACTAAATTCGGCATCTAGCCTTTGGCTGAAAAAAGCAGGTCAAACTGTTAGTTCAGGGTTTCAAGAGTGACCCGTAACAAGGCATCTCTCTCTAAGTGGGGGGTTTGTCACCAACGGGGGGTCCTCATCAGTGAGCGGAGAGCTTTTGGGGGCAAAAAAAAATGAAGACCTATCTGGCACTTCCAAGCCTCCTCCTGAATTCAGCAGTTCACCCAGAGCTCCCCACTGCACCCTGGGGTGGGGGGCACTTCTTTCTCTTCCAAGCTCAGCCACACCCATCTTTCCCTTTTTAACACACATGTGGTCACCCGTAGGGGCATCATCACCCCCTTTCGCAGACAGGAAAGGTGAGGTCGAGCCAGGTGACCGTGCTTCTGCAGCCTCCTGGCAGCACTTCCCACCTGCCTGCCCTCTCCAGGCCTCAGTTTCCCCATCCGGGATGCAAGGGGTCGAGCCTCGTCTATCTCTGTGGGGCTGCCACTGGGACCCGCTGCCGGCAGGGCTACCCAGGGTGGGGACCGTAGGAGCGGGCAGCCCACCTCTGCTGGAAAATGGGGGGAAGCTGAAGGGTACGGCTCCGTTC